AAGCGCCTTGAGGCGACTTTTTTTGTGATTTGGTGCTATATAAATAAAATTGAACCAAAACCTCTGTGGAAGATTTCCAGGGCACTCCTGAATCTGTGCCTTGAAGAATTCGGACAGTTATGAAAGCAAAAGCAGGTCCAACCTATTATCAACAAGCTGTGGGTGTATAATCAACAACAGCATAGCTTCAAAATGATTTACACTATCAAACATTTGTAAATGTAATAATTCGGATGTAATAATTACTTTTATTTGATATTGCACATGATTATCATTAATCTTCTTTAACTGATAAGGATACGAAGAATCTAAAGACTTCACGGCAGACGGAGAAAACTTATCTCTGAATGGCCTTCGAGTGTATCTGTGATCAGAAGCTTTGCGTACGGCGCTCGGGTCCACGTGTGGCACCCTCCGTCAAGATCGGGGATGTTTTGTGCAGCAGTGCTGTGCACGCATATATAATTTGTAAAATCAGCGTTTATCTATTCATATTCGATTTTTATTACAAGTGTGGCATTACATTATGAGAAAAACATATGTACAAATCGTAAAAAAATACATCTTGGCACCAGCTGTTGGGTGGATCATTGCGCTGGTGACGTGAGTTTCTGCCTGAGGCGTTCGTGCGCCAGTACCTGAGCACCAAACCCGAACAGTGACGCCTCCGCTTTGGCAACTGATGGCGCAAAAGTGGGACCCGTCTTCCATTTTTCGTGTTCGAGTCCTTCCCAAAGAAGTTAATAATAGGTTGATGTAAATGAAAGAGAAGCTAATATGTTGTACTCTCTGAACCGGTGGCGTTTCGGTTTGGAAGAGTCGAATCTAACGTGTCTTATAAATAAGTCTGAAGAGTCAGGAGATGACTGACTGAGAGGTTTGGGAGGTTTCCAGGGATTAGAGCTGATAAATAGTTGGTAAGTTTCCTCATGTAAACATCAGGCGTCCTACTTCCTTACACCTTCGGGGCCGTATGCACCCGCTGGCCTCTCTCACACACTCCATAATCTTTTTCCAGTCTGTTTACTGATGCGGTCGCATCCACTAACTCTCACCATGCCACTTTTTGCAGCACTGCACTCAGAGGACGCAGCCACTCGGGTCATTTAAAGTGTTTTCAGTAGGGGTAGGCAGAGACAGCGATGTAGACGATGAAGGTCGTCTGGTACTCGATGCCTCCGTCTTCACTGTAGGACAGGGCTCGGACCTTCATGCGGTACGTGTGGGGCTCTCGTAGCGGCCGCGTGGTGAACAGCACTCCCTTTAGGTTCTCATCTCGCAGAGCAAACGGCAACGCGAAATCCTCGTCCACCACCAGGAAGGAGGTCCTGGGGTGCATCACTCCATCCTGTGTGTAGGCCACCAGCCTGATGAGGTCCTGGTTGGCTGCGATGCCAAAGGGAAGCGACAGCAGCTTGTACTCCAAGGCGTACGGGCTCAGTGCGCACTCCAGGTCATTTGGCTGGCAGTTTCTCAGACAGAACCTACAAAAAGAAAAAAGTTAGTTTTGGTTGAATATGGTGCTGGTGGGCCCAGGAGGCAGAAAACAAAGGTTTGGTGTAAAGGCGATGTGAGAAGCCAAAGAAGAAGAAGGTTTTACACAGAAATCTGCTACAATTTGAAGAGAAAACAACCCGCCCCGTACTTATATCTGTAGGATATGATAAAATATGATCACTTTGTCTCAAAGTTCAGAATGATCAGGTTTCATGTATGTGTGCAGGTTTACCCTGTGACCGGGTCCCTCTGGTAGTTTGGGGGACAGGGGGTGTCAATACACTGGTAGCTTCCTCTCGTGTTGAAGCACATTCGATTCACTCCACACTGGATGTTCTGTTCCAGGCACTCGTCTGTGTCTGCGGCAGATACAGCAAACAGCTACAGTAAGCACAGGTCACACCTCGCTTGAGGGTAAATTGCATGAGTTCCAGTGAACAGGTGGATTGCCGGGTAGACAAAGCGAGCACACCGAGGTTCTCACCTTGACAAGTCTTGCCATTGGTCATGAGGCGGTAACCAGCAGGACAGAGACACCTGTAGCTTCCTGGTGTGTTCGTGCACTCGTGCTGACAGGTGTCCCTCACTTCACACTCGTTGATGTCTTTTTGATGTCACGCACACACAAAAACAGCCACAGAGGGATACACAGAACATCAGTTTTCCAGACCCCACTGCAAATTCTGAGGCAGTAATGAAATGCTGAACTTTCCTCTCCCTCATCTCAACCCTGCCTCTTCTCCATAGTTACCTAAGCAGCGGTGACCCCTGGGCTCAAAGCCCTGCTGACAAGCGAGGACGCCCTGATGTGAGGAATGCACACGCGTCTCCCTGCGGCTCCGACTCCTGTAGCGCCCCCACGCGGGGGCTGCGTAGGAGTGGTAGCTCTGGGAGGCCAAGTTGTGGTAGAGCATCTGGCTGGAGCCGCCGCCGGGGGCGGACTGAGACGTGCGGTAAGTGTACGAGTAACTTTCGTAGCTGGGCAGCCGCTCAAGCCCAGCGCAGGACTTGCCGTCCCCCAGCAGGTGGCGCCCCGGAGGGCAGGCGCACTTGAAGCTGCCGGGAGTGTTGATGCACTGGTGGGCGCAAGGCTGCGGGAGCCGCTCACATTCATTTACATCTGCCCTCGGCACAGAGAAAGACCAGCACCAAGAAAAGGTGGATAAAAGGTTTGAAATGATGCAGAAGTAAAGAAAAAAGAACAGAGTGATGAGAGGAGCACAGGAGGAGGTGCAGGCCATGAAAGAGGAGAAGGATGAGGGGAGAAAAGGGGATATGCAAGTTACCCCGCTGTATAACAATACATTTTCATGTCAGGGACGCAGAAATGTATTGAAACTACAGGTTTAATTTGAATGAGAGAATCACTCCATCTCATAAATAACAAAATCATAATTTTCACATTTTATCTGAAGAAGTACATCAGATATGAATTATGTTAAAAAAACGTTCCCAGTTCATTCAGACTATCTGAATAAAGCAGACAGAGTGTTAATGTCCCAGCAGCATCAGGGTACATACGCCATCACAAAGCGACGCCAGGAAACAGCCAGACCCAAACATAAAGGTGCTGGAAACACTTTGATAGGTCCGAACTGGAGGGAATGAAAAGGAGGAAGTGACAGACAGAGGTGTGAGGTGACGGTGCTGGTCTTTTTACAGTTGGTGTTTTATGTATTCCTTTCCCTCCTTCCTGTTTCCCTAACAGCTGTCTAACACCGTAGCATCATCTTGAGCTGGCAAAGCCTCTGATATCATGCAGCATTGTTTCTTGGCAAAAAGCAAGATATTTTTTTTGTTTGCGTTTAATAGAAAGAGTTAATCAGCTGTTCTCAGTGAAGCATTTGGTCATGTGAGCAAGCAGCGGCGCGATATGATGACAGCAGCTTTTTAGGCTTTCTGCAGAAGTGAGTGAGTCAGCATCAGAAAGAAGAAAGCGCATTTCTTGAAGCAAGCAAGCTGATGGGAAACATAAGGAAAGAGCACTGCATTTTTATTTTACTGCTCAGGATGTTTCATGCTTGGCTAAGTAGCCCAAAGTAATCAGAATGACACAGCAGCAATGAGGGTTTGATGTTATACCGCACTGGATTCAATTCAAGGCAGAGACACGTACCGACGCAGGGCCGCCCTACTCCCTGGGATCTGTAACCACGGGGGCAGGTGCAGTGGTAGCTGCCTCTGGTGTTCTCGCAGATCTGGTTGTATCTGCACTGATGGGTACCGTCTCTGCACTCGTCAACGTCTGCAACAGGCCACAAGAGACTAACATGCATCATCTTATTAATCACAATATGCTAATCAAAAAAATGCAAGAAACACCTTTTAATTAGAGGCTGGCATCTAGTCGGTTAAACTTCTGGGCTATCGATGTGGTCAGTTACATAGCAGAGGGGGTTAATCAGTCTCAGCAGCTTTGGTCTTAATGAAATTAACAAGAGCTGCAAACAGGAACGGTTTCACACATGGAGGCCTCTGACTTTCCCCCCTCCTTATATTTCCTGACTGTTTTTCACTAGTTTTGCGTTTGGCTAGGGTCAGTGTCACTGCTGTTAGCGTGACGTGATACATGAACCCTGCAGAGGCTGCATTGTTGTCCGGCTCCTCCAGGACGACACAGAAGATACCAGAAGATTTACAGAGTCTCCCAGCTCAGTTTCAAGAGCATGGAGGAGAATCCAGGAGACACACAGTTACTCTGGGAGAGCTGGACAGGGCTGTAGAAGATCCTTAACCCATCAGCGGGACAGGAAACTGCTACTTTGTGTGGAATTTTTTCATTTCCAGGCTTGAATTCAGCCCTCTACCTTGATCCTTCCACTCCTAACACATTACCCAGTCTGTATCAGTACAGATATGCTGCATGATTATTTCCCCCCACTGAGAATAGATGTGTTTCTCTACATTTTCTAAACAGCGTATTAGTAACTACTCTACAGTACTTCAGTAGCACTCACCCGCACATGTTCCATTGCCACCCTTGGTCATACCACTGGGGCAGAGGTCAATACAGATGTAACCACCGCGAGTGTTTTTACACTGCTGATCAGAGCGGCAAACCCTCTGCCTGCACTCGTTGATATCTGCGGTGAACAGAGGAAAAAGGGAAGTTTGTGGCTCCAGGTTTAGTGATAAATTGTCTTATTTTACGTAGAACATCAATGGAGAGGAGCGCCTCTCTCACCTATGCAGCGCCTGTTCCTGAGATGAAATCCTGGCTCACAGGCGCAGCGGTAACTACCGACGGTGTTCAAACAACGTTGATTACACGGATTTGACTCCAGGCACTCGTTCACATCTGAACAACACAAACATGTCCCGCTACTATTAGAAAGTCAAATCGATTAAACAGGAAAGGAATGCCCTTTACGTGTACAATCAAACCTGTACAGCTGTAGCCGTCAGCTGTTCTCCTGAAGCCACGCCCACAGCGCGTGACGCATCTGTAAGAGCCGATGGTATTCTCGCAGTCTTCTGCGTCGTGGCACACATTCCCACCTAGCGAACACTCGTCGACGTCTAGGAGAGAGGAGAGAAGAGGCTTAACGGTGATTTGCTGCCGCGTCGGGTCAGTAGGCGGCGGAGAGTTTTGTACCCTGACACGTCCTCCCGTCGGCTGAGATGGCGAGGCCTCGGGGACAGGAGCAGTAGTAGGTGCCCATCGTGTTGTGGCAGGCATGTGAACACGGATTCCCAACCTCACATTCATTCTCATCTGCAGCACCAAGATAAACACGAATACGAACAATCAGAAACGATCAGATGTTCTAATTATGAATCCATGAATATATCATTTTTAGGTGCAGGTTTTCGGGGTTTGGGGGTAAGTATACGTGTGTTGTGATTAGCATTACCTGCACAGTAAGGCCCGGCAGCCACCAAAGTGAAGCCACGAGGACACTGGTTACTGCGATCACCTGGAGTCACGTTAACAAACTTTAAATTTCGCTTATGTTTGGTGAAAGTGCAACAAAGTATTAGGCAACAGAAGTTGAAACATCTTTTGCGTTCACCTTTGGAGATACTAGCTTGTATGCTGTACTCCAACACCTCCTCCAGTGGGTGGTAGTGTGCACTGATGGCTGCGGCCCTCAGCGTTTCCACCAGGTAGGGCATCTTCCCCTTGGACGGGTCATAGGAGACAGTGTGGTTCCAGGTGTAGGGCACACTTTCCTTGTCGATGCTGAACATGCGAGTGGACAGAGCGTAGAGCTGACCCGGTCCCGTCTGGATGTAGTCCTCTGTGTAGTCCTGGGGAAAAAACACAACAGAACATTGTGCATTTTTATTATTCAGTTTGGCGTCTGTCAGCTGGACCTTAATTTTAGTTTGTTTCCTTGCAATGTGTGACATTAGACTTTAAATTGTTTTTATTGGGTTAAACTGAGTTAAAGTGTGTATATAAGAATCTATGAGGTATACAAGACGGGGGACTTGATTTGCTGGTGGGAAGCTTAGAGATGACATATGGCTAAAAAAGAGAGAGAGAGAAACAAATAATGATAAATTGATGTTTTCTAAAATAGAGGCGTTCACTGTATTCGATTTCCAGTCTTTTCTATGGTTTAAATTTCCAGAAATGCAATAAAACCGTTTTGTAAATATACATGAACTGATGTGTTTTGGTTGTAAACAGGCTGATAAGCATATGCATATTTCTTTCAGTCCCTATATTAGTTTATTAGCTGGCTTCATAATATTCCCATTGCCTATTTGTGTACCTTGATGCCGATGAGAGCATGTGAAGGCAGCTGCAGGATGTGTCCGCTCACAACGATGTCCAAAAGCAAAGCGCCGTCAGAGTCCAGACCCCTGACGATGTGGGTCATCCTCAGGATCTCGCCTGCCAACACGCAGTCGCGTCACATATCTTTACATATTAACAGCTGTTTAAAGATTTCATGCCTCCGTGTTGAACCCATGAAATCCTACCTGTGGCAAACTCCACCTGCGTCTCCCGTCTGAAGATACCTCCTGTTAGCGTGTAGCCGTTGACCGCCTCTCCTACTTCATGCGCAGTGGTCCAGTAGACGGGGTTCAGGATGGAGATGAGCTTCCTCATTGCAGGACCTTGAATCAATTTAAAGGTCTTAGATTTATTAGGAGTTCAAGAAAACAGCTGACTTTTAGATGGAGGCAGGAATTAGAGAGCATCATACAACATCTAAAAGCAGAACAGTGATACAACCAACGAGCTAATGGAAAACTGACCTAACGTCCTCGGTACATTAGAGATTGTGGCTTTGATGATTCTGCTGCCAAAGCTGTCGGTGATGGTGGCATTGAGGATGGAGACGCCGAACTCGATATCATTAATGTTCCCTATGATGCTTCCTCGGGCCTTCAGGGGCCCACCTGATCAAAAGAAACGTGTCTTTAAATGTAAATACAGCAAATGAACACAGAAGCTTTTTTTAAGAGATACGTTACCTGGGCAGGCCTGAGTGTTGCACCTGGACAGCTGAGTAGAGTCTCCTGGACACGGCCGACCACCGTCACTTGGAGACGGACCGTCACAGAGCCGAACACGTGTCCTCTGTCCTCCTCTGCAGGAAGAAGAACATTCTCCCCATGGCTGCCATGAACCCCAGGTACCATCAACTGCAAAATACAAACAGTACAGGTGTACACATCAACACACAAATCACGGCAATGGAGCAGTCGTAGGGGTAATTTAGTCTTACAAGGGAACCAATAACACACGCCTGACCGTGCCGCAGGCTGACTCACCGGGGCACTTGACGGTGCTGCATCTTTGTATCTGTGTATCAGCACCTGCACAAGCTCTCCCACCGTAGGCGGGTCTGGGGTTGTCACAGGTCCTGTAGCGCCTCATCTGACCTCCGTTACATGTCTTGCTGCAGCTGCCCCAGCTGCTCCATGGACCCCAGTTACCACTGACTAACACACAGAAGTGCAAAATGACAGATTCACAAAAGAAAAGATGCAGAAATGAGCGTATCTAAGCAGTCAGTAGCAGTTCAGGTATCTCACTGGGGCAGGGGTCGCTGTTGCAGAAGTCGATTTGCACGTCGTTGCCCTCACACTGTCTGCCGCCGTGCTGAGGGGCGGGGCTGGCACAGAGGCGTGTCCTCTGTCTAGTGCCCCCCCCACAGGAAACACTGCAGGCTCCCCAGCTCACCCAGGACGACCACTTCCCATCCACTGGAGGACACAAAGTGTATAAAACTGAAATCTGCTTCGTTTAACGAATTCCTAAATCCAGGCTGGAGCGGAGATTTTTCTCGAAGCATAATCGCGTCCTTACCGGGACAAGGCTTCTCCTTGCACATTTGTGTTTGGGTGTCTGTGCCCACACACTGTGACCCATCGAATGCTGGAGGAGGGTTGTTGCAGAGACGGATCCTGGACTGCACGCCCCTACCGCAGGTCTCGCTGCATGGGCTCCACGGTAGCCAAGAACCCCAGTTACCTCCCACTATAAGAGCATAAACCTACAGTCCATCATACATATATGTATATACACAGCAGAATAAAGCAACACAGTGCTGCTAGAAAAAAACCCCAACAGATCTGCAGTTTAACAACAGGAAAAATTCATGGAAATCAGAAAAGAAAGCTTAATTAAATTTGGAAATGACATAAAAAAACATTCATATTTGTTTCATGAATATTATTAGATCTGTTTGTCCACACAGGCTAGCCTGCTACGTGAAGTATAAGTAGAATTAGGCAACAAGTCAAGATGTGTGCAAACGCCCAAAGAGCTGGAGTTTCATCAAAAACTAGAATATTAAGATATTTATACTGTAGCAAACACCCTCAAATTAAAGTTCTCTTTAATGCCAGTGGTTCTCTTGTTTTTAACTGTGTGTGCCTGCGCATGCAAATGCATTTCCTCACCTGGACATGGCCTGACCCTGCACATGACCACGTCCACTGCCTTCCCCTCACACGGCCTGCCTCCATGCTGAGGCGGAGGACTGCTGCAGGTCCGGACCCTGGTTCTGTTGCCCTCACCACATGTATGTGAACACTCTTCCCAGAGAGACCATTCTGACCAGTTACCATCCACTGTGGAGGGACGAGAGATTTGGTTCCGCATGTGACATTTGCACACTGTCTCCTTTGTGAACACTTGGTTCTAGGCCCTGTTTCAGTCTCACCTGGGCAGGGTTTCCCCTGACAGCTGCGTGTCTCTGTGTCTGATCCTGCACAGTGGCGGCCTCCGTTGGCAGGTAAAGGGTTGTTACACTGCCTGAGCCTCTTCTGGTTACCAACACCACATGACACGCTGCAAGGACCCCACTCTGCCCACTCCGAGAAGCCGCCATGGACTGACAAGAACGTTAATTAACTTTGGCACTTGGCGTTAGGTCCCTTTAGACACCAAAATATTGAAAGCATGCATATGAACCGATTTTGCCATTTCTGACTGCAGATGTAAGAATAAACTAAAAACTGCTCACCCCGTATGGTAAGAGTGACCTTGACCAGCACTGATCCAAGCAGGTTTCGTGCCACGCATTCGTACTCAGCTGTGTCCTCCTTTTGCGCACTGATGATCCTGAGGGAGCCATTAGATAAGGCAGAGAAGCGGTTGTTGCCCAGAAGGGGGCGCCCCTGGCGAGACCACTCTATCGTGGGCGTAGGCTCACCCTCCGCCTGACAGTTGAGCACAGCCGTGGTTCCGGCATCCAGCACCGTCTCCACGGGTTCTACAATGATTGCGGGTGCACCTGGAAGAGCAGCGTGCTTCTATCACATCTATCACTGCAACAAAAACGCTATAATTAAAAGTGCTGCATCCTGACACGGTTAAACACTCACTGTGTAAGGTAAGTGTGACACTTCTCTCCACCACACCAGCGTCATTTGTCGCCACACACATGTAGTTTCCCGCATCTTCACTCTGCCACACACATTGTAAATGAAGTCACCGTGACCTTTTCCAAAGCTCACCTTTGTCTTACACAAAAGAGCTGTCTTCCTACCACTGTGCCATAGATGGCCAGGGAGCCGTTGTCCAGTTGACGGATTCGGTTGCTGATCTGGATGTTTATTCCATTTTTGCTCCACTGGATGGTTGGCAGCGGGTCTCCTCGAACCTCACAGTTCAGGATTGCATTCCCGCCCAGGGGTTCAATGCGGTTGGAGTGAAGGTCCCCATCGATGATCGGAGGCTCTGAAGAACAGGCAGATCAGGTCGAGTGTAGAGCAGCTTAGAGAGATGCAACATCATCAAATTAGTTCATGAAAGCATGCTTTTACCTTTGACGTAGACCAAGGCCAGCGACTTGATGGTTCCCACATCATTTTCTGCCACACAGGTGTAGGTGCCGGCATCGTCTTTGCTCACTCTCTCGATCACCAGCTCACTGTGACCGTTCGTTTGATCGTAGTGAACTAAAGCATCAATGGCAGAAAAGAAATAAAATGAAATGACAAAGATTAAGAAATAACGAAAGGAAACCTCTCCGTTTACAACGATTCATACCTGGGATGATGTTGTTATTAAAGGCCCAAGTGATTCTGGGTAGGGGGATGCCACTGACTCCACAGAACAGCGTGAGGCGCTCTCCTTTGTTCAGGGCCACATCCCCAAGAAGCTCAGTGAAGATGGGATGAGTATGAACCAACAGGGTGACGGTCCAACTGTCCTGCCCGACTGAATTAGTGGCAACGCAGGTGTAACTTCCTGCATCTTCAGGCTGGTTCACCAAAAGGCGGGGGCAGGGTGAAGGGAAAAGGAGCATATAGGTCAAACTCGTGTGTTAAATATGATCAAAACAAAATACTATTCGGTGTTTCTATTTTTTACCTGAGCACTGTCAATAACCAGCTCACCAGATGGCAGGATCGTATACTCCCCCGCGCTTTCGCTGACAGGACTACCGTCCTTTTCCCAGGACAGTTTTGGCTGAGGGACGCCCTCTGCCAAACACACAAGCTGGACCTGACTGTTTTCCACCACCACGACCTCCTGCTCTCCGCCACGAATGAACGGAGGAACTGCAAGAGATTAGGATAAAACCAAGTCACCCTTTTTTATCTTTGCTTTGCTATACACTCCCGATTAAAAGTTTAAAACCAGTTTAAGCGTCGTTTTCAGTAAATTGCATGCTCAAAAAATGTTTTATCTCACTCCCATTTCTTCTTGTTGCATGTTGAAGCTCCACTTGGAACCTTGTTAAAATCCAACCATGCAAAATAGGATTTTTTGCCATTTTTCAAGTGGTCTTAAACTTTTGATTGGGACTGTATGTCTGGATGTGAGTATAAAATCTGAATGATGCTGTGTTGAAGAAGCAGAACTACTGGAACCATCCATGCATCCATGCATCACCCATCCATCTTCATAGAAAACTCCACAAATGTAGTGTGATGTGTCAAATCACGTCATTTCAATGACTGTATTGACTGGAACCTACTCTGCACAGTAAGGCTCATTTCCAAGCTGACAGTGCCCGCTGCATTGGCAGCAGTGCAAGTGTATCTCCCGGCATCGCTCGGCTGAATGAAGGCGATCTGCAGAGATCCTGAACTGAGGACCCTCAGGCGTACGGTTTCACTCAGCACGCGCCCGTCTTTGTGCCACGTGACCGAGGGGGGAGGGGAGCCGTCAGCTTGGCACCGCAGCGTCACGGAGGAGTCCACGGGTGCCAAATATTCCCGAGTGTCTGAGCTGATCACTGGAGGGACTTCAGGTGCAAGGAGAAATGTGTGGGGTTAGTACATCAGTATATTTGTTGACATCGTGGGAAACCTGAATTTCAGTGACTTTGGGTGCATTTTGTACACAACTGGTATTATGATCGTGAGGTTGAAATTCCAACATAAAAGTACCTACCTTGCACTCTGAGTCTGGTCTTGCCGAGCGCAGTGCCAGCAGGGTTTTGAGCCACACATATGTACATTCCAGAGTCTGATAGTGATGCCTTGGAGATCTGCAGACTTCCATTCGGGAGTATAGTGGACCTACCACCTAGCACGAAGCCAGAGCCAAAATTTCACGACTGATTGCTTACACCAACTGACAAAAACACAAAATTATTTACCTGTAGTGGGTATGTTGATGCCCTCCTTCTGCCAGGTAATGGTAGGTGAGGGTGAGCCTGTGGCTCTGCAGGGCAGACTTACGGGGTTATTCAGGATCACATCCAGTGCTGATGGATGGGACTCAATCACTGGAAGCTCTGAGGAGAAGGTTTGGAGAATAGTGATGATCAAAAACAAAAGAATAAACCTCCAAATAAAACAAAAAACAAGCCTCTCAATCAGAATCAAGAGCTCTAAAATAAAAATGATTTAAGCTGTGAACCCTGAAGAATTCGTTTTTTACCCTGGACTGTGAGCTGCACGTGGCGGTGGGTGGAGCCTGCAGCATTCTGAGCTGTACATGAGTAGCGTCCAGCATGAGCTAGCTCGGCTGAGGTGATCTCTATCGGACCTTAATGTAGGTCGACACAAACAGCAGATAAAATATTTAAAGACAGGCATCAAAATCCTCCTCGACATCTTATCTACAGCTAAAAATACACACAAAGTAACCTGACATGTGCCCTTCAGGAGACTCGGGGGGGAAAAGCGTCTGGACTTATTTAAGCTTCTGACCTTTTCTGTGCATCTTTGCTGACTTGAGGAAATAATCACATGTTTTAAGTGCTTCCTTTACATGCGTGTGTTCCTTTTGTTTCCCTTCTGGCTAAAGGGGAACATTTTCTGCCCGGTGATGTAGGATCCTGATCACTCCAAGTCTGTGTTCCAGAGGGTGGGGGTACTGGTCCATGTGTGTGGGCTTCTGGTAAACTTCAATGTTGAGGTTTCCATTCCCTTCAAAGCCCACGGCACAGTCCAGGAATGGCAAACTGCCATCTTTGTGTCTTCACAGGTGAACTTTATGTTTTTATCCACTGAGCTGATGTGAGCAGTGAAGGATTCTACTTCCTGGATTTAGATTTTGACCCAGGTGTCATCAACATACCTGTATGGGAGGCTTTTTCCCCACTTCCTCCATGTTAAGTTTGGCTACAATAGGTGACACCAGGGAGCCCACTGCACAGCCATGTTTTTGTCTGTAAAATCCTTGTTGTAATTAAAATAAGTGGCGGTGAGGCAGAGCGCAAAATCTGAGTGAGTGAGCTCGTTCTGTTTTTTCAAGGAGCTGTCTTGTCTCAGTAAATCACATGATAGGATGGAGCTAGGTCTCACAATGGGTTCACCCAAACATTGGCTGATTGTGACCCACACCCGTTTTTACACTATGACTCATGTGATTAGGCAAAGGATCAATAGGGGGTCCAGGACCCTCCTGGGGACACTCCCTTTGGTCTTAAAATCTGGGACTCCACCAGTTGCTCTCAGAACTGAAGAAGGTGAAACGTCTTCAAGAAACTTAAAGTAGTCCAGACGCTTTTCTGTCCGAGCTCCTTAGACTACGATGACCTAGATGACTGAGAACCTTCACCGACACTTTGGTTTGGTGAGTTCATCAGCAGTGGGTATATTTAAAACATACCTGTTGCCAGGATGCTATATCCCAGACCCTCTATGGGCAGCTTCATGCCAGCTTTGCTCCAGTGGATTGTGGGCTCCGGGATGCCAGACGCAGTGCACGGAATGACCACCGGGGACAGCCTGGTCACGACTAACTCTGTGAGTTCATCTGCTATTGACGGAGGAACTAGAGGAACAGATGCAATATGAAAATCCACAATGTAGAATAAACTCGCACAGATGAACGATCCATTACTTATTAGAAAGAAAATTAACTTAATTAACACAAAACAAAAGGAATCTGTAAATAACTGTTGTGTTACCCACCGTTCACAGTCAGGTTGATGGATCTGGTGTCTTCACCTGCCTCGTTAGAGGCAGCGCACTGGTACACAGCCGTGTCCTCCACTGTGGGCGCTATAACTACCAGTGAGCCCGATGACAGTAATCTGGAAACGATTAAGAGATGGCGTTAGTATTTCTATACACTTAAAGTGAGCCAGTTTTGTTTTTTTCTGAGACAAATTTGAATATATTTCACTAGGAAAGAGAAGGAGAAAACGCCGACCTGTATATGTTCTGGTTCTGGTCTGTGTTTATAAGTCGGCCATTTTTCCTCCAGCTGACAGTGGGTTTGGGTATGCCTGTAGCCTCACACGACAGAGTGGTCTGAACGTTGACTATAACTGTGACATTGGTGCGACCATCAGCGATGGAAGGAGGCACTAAAAGACAGGAAGCAGTAGTAAAGTAACTGTCATTTGAATACATCTATGGTACATATTTGCCACCAGTGTTGGGAAGGTTACTTTTAAAATGTATCCCACTACAGATTACAGATTACAGATTACAGATTACAGATTACATGGCCCAACATGTATTTTGTAACGTATTCCGTTACGTTACTCAATGAGAGTAACGTATTCTGAATACTTTGGATTACTTAATATACTGTCAGGCTTTTTACAACTACATGAATGAACTATTGCTGTGTGAATTATTACTTTTACTGAAGGTTACTCTCCACACCAACACCAACTAGATTTTTAAATCTTAATATAAATGAGTAACAGCAGGTGGACATTAGGTAAGGCTGCACTTTTTGCAGCGATCTCAGATAGAAAACTATTCTGCATGAATAGAAAACAGGTCACTCTGCCTGTTGCCTTCATATTAAATCATTTTTGTGAATAATTTTTTTTAATATTTCTTTACGTCATTATGTGGCCGCAAGTCGAGGTGACATGGGCCGCGAGATTGAGACACAGACATGAGAGCCTCTTAATGCGCGTTTTGTTTGGTTGCCACCGGCGTGGACACCAAAAATCTAGAGTTCATAGCCTTACTTTCAACAAAGTAACTGTATTCTGAATACCGCTTAAAACGGTAACTGTAACAGAATACAGTTACTCGGCGGTACATGTATTCCGTTACTCCCCAACACTGTTTGCCACCCACCATATACTTGCAGATCCACTCTCTTGCGTTGAGTTCCAGCCTGATTGGTTGCCATACACAGGTAGCGACCGGTGTCTGTCACCTGAGTGGAGTTGATGCGCAAAGACCCATCCTCTGCAAACGAGTACCTGCACACGTGTTCACAACATGAATGAAACACTGAATCTGCCAATGTGAAATATCTCTGTGAAGGTTGAAGAACTATGATAAAAGTTTGAGACGAGGAACCTGCCTGGGATTGTTTCCTGCCAATATTGCTCCATGTTTCCTCCAGGTGACCTGAGGTGGTGGGACTCCACTCACTACGCATTCAAGCACCGCTGGCTTGTTGACGTGCACCGACACTGACTGGGGTCCGTCCTTGATAACTGGGGCCACTGAAGGGACAGGTGTTATTGGTTTTTGAACTTTTATTTAACTCCATAACTAATAAAGGAGGAATTTATTTCTATAAATACATAAGCGTACCATTGACAGTCAGGTTAAACTTGCGTGTGGTCTGGCCAGCGATGTTACTAGCCACGCAGGTGTACTGAGCTCTGTCGCTGAGCTCTGCCATGTTGATCTGCAAGTAGCGGCCACCAGACAGAACACGCACACGAGCAGAGGCCTGCACAACGGGGCAGATAAGGTTATTTACCTCACCAGGTATCATCGTGTTGCTATTCTTCTTTTGTTTGACTTCTGACCTGCAGTTGTTGGCCATCTTTGAGCCAGGTCAGCGTTGGAGGTGGAACAGCATCAGACTTGCACTCTAAAGTCACCTGTCTGTTCTGCAGCACTGAAACATCCCGAGGTGTACTCTCTCCCACAATGTTAGGAGGAACTGAAACGGCAGACAAAAGAGCTCTAACCGTCTGTAGCCCACGATCAATCAAACTGTGCACACATGTGCATGACAACGAGAAACATTTCTAAGCAATTCAATAACTGCAACACTGTAACTTCCCTTTTGTATTTGTAATGGAACCAATTTAATTGAAATTTCCATAAATTTAAACAGTTTGCATACTGCAATTTGCACTAAACGTCTATGTTACCCACCATGCACTCGAACTAGGAAGTCCTTGTCATCATCTCCCGCTGGACTGTTTGCTAAGCAGGTGTATCTGCCTGTGTCCTCCAGCTGAGCGTCAAAAGTGTGAGAACAGTGGAAAAAACACACAAAAACCATTCATGTACACTCTCTGGCCTCTTTTAGACACACCTGTTCAACTGGTATTTAATGCAGATATCTAGTTAGCCGATCACATGGCTGCACAGTGCATTTAGCTGCAGTCAAGCTCAAACTGAGCATCAGATTAGGGAATACTGGGATTTTTCCACACAACCATGTCTACGGTTTACAGAGAATGGTCAGATCGGGGCAAAGGAGAAGTGCCAGATGGTCTGGAGAGAGAACTACATCATGGATCATCTGACAAATGTGTAGCAACTGCACGACGCTATCATGACAACATGGACCAAAATCTGAGGAATAATTCCATCACCTTGTTGAATTTATGAAGAATTATTAAGGCAGAAGGGATGCAAACATCTAGTTCTAGCAAGGTGTACTAATAAAGTTTCCAGTGAGTGTTTATATAAAAATCACACGATGCTGTATGAGCAACAAAATTTCACTTTAACAGTCCCGAGTCTCTGACCTGTGCTGAGGCCACACGGAGCACCTTTCCTCCCTGGAGGCGGCGGAGGCTGTCTGTCTGTGGGAGCGGGCGTCCATCCTTGAGCCAGGTCAGAGAGGGCGTAGGTATACCTGTGGCCTCACAGTGGAGCTCCAGGACATTATTAACCACCACAGACACTTCTGCAGGTACACCAGAGCCCTCGATGCGCGGAGGATCTTAGAAAGTACAAGTTTCTTTAGTCGTCCATGCATCAGCAGCTGAAGCTGGATAATGGAGAGCTACAGTCTGATTGCACTCACCCATAACTTTCAGGTTGAAGTGACGGCTCGCTTCACCAGCAGTGTTGTTAGCCACGCAGGTGTAGCGTCCCGTGTCGCCAACCTGAGCCCGTCTAATACGAAGGTTGGTGTTCGAGTTTAGGAGAACGACGTGGCGGTCGGGGACTAGAGTCGCTCCGTCTTTGAGCCAGGAAACGGTGGGCGTTGGGGTCCCATCAGCAATACACAGCAGAGAAGCCAAGTTTCCTGCGACCACAGTCACATCCTCTGTGCTCCCTGCTCCATCCAGACCGGGAGGGACTGAGGAGGGTAATTTAACAACTCGTTAGCCTTTGTTTCTCAGTTTGCCTGGAGGATATCTGAAAAGTGTGAATAAACATGAAAGCTATACAACTCTAGAACATGCGGCCGCTTGCAGTTTCTTGCTGACGTAGCAAGTTTTCAGACTCACCGTGCACCTGCAGGTTATAATGTTTGTTGTCCACTCCTGCCCTGTTTGATGCAACGCAGGTATATCGTCCACCATCAGACACCTGGATGCGCGCCACCCTGACGGGAAATTTGTACAATGTGTAAATTTAAGATGTTTCATATTTAAACCAATCCCCCATTTTTCAAACCTTTTCAATCTTCAATGAAGCCATTGTTTTGATGATTTGGAAGATTTTAAAGCCAGAGTCGAGATAAGAATGTTTCAGACTAATACATTCGCATATTTGCATTCAAAAGAAAGAAATTCATCCTCCGCGCACTGTCTGCTGACGTACCGAAGCACTTGCCCAGCAGAGAGGAGACGTATGTGTGAGGAGACTGGCAGAGGCAGGCCGTTCCTCAGCCAGTTTAGCTGAGGCAGGGGAGAGCCTGTTGCGACGCACTCGATGCTCACAGAACTGTCCAGAACTGCTGCGAGCTCCTCAACAGCCGCACTGTTGCCTACGATCACAGGCGGCACTGGGAGACGGGAGGCAGGATCCGTTATATAAAAGAATATCTGCGCCAAAGATATGCGTTACGTTTGAATCCTGAGTTGAACCCACCATACACGTTCAGATTAAATATCCTGTCCTCTTCTCCTGCAGCGTTGGTAGCCACGCAGGTGTACTTGCCGCCGTCAGCAGTCTGAGCTCGTAGTACAGTGAGTTTGCTGCCATTTCCACTGATCCTGAGCATACATACATATATTTGTAAAATATATGTCTTGTATATGTATTTTGTGTGTATTGCACATTGTGCTATTCTTTACCTGAGCCCCTTGCTTCCCGTACTGTTGATGGCTTCCCCGTCCTTCAGCCACTGGATGGTCGGAGTCGGGGTTCCCTGAGCTTGACAGACCAACTGAATGGTTTGATTTAGCAGGACTCCCATCTCACTGGGTAGCTCTGATCCAGAGATACTGGGAGGAACTAAGAGCAAATTACCAAGGTTAGCATAGCTGTGTGTAACATAGCTGCAAAGAGTGAGCAAATGTCATATTAAACCCAGTGGATTAAGAATGGGATGCTGCTCAAGGTCATATTGATAAAGACAGATGAGCGAATATGTTTGGCAATATAGTGTATCTAGAAAGGCATTAGCAGGGTTTTAAAGATAAAGATGTCCATCTACCTTGTATGGTTAGGCGGTACCTCTTGTAGGCCTTGCCCTCCACGTTGGAGGCCACACATGTGTAAGTGCCGCTGTCAGAGAGCTGCGAGCGTGCGATCTGCAGTTTGCTGCCCCCTGAGAAGATGTGCATCTCCAAAGACTCTGAGTTCTCTAAAGGAAATATGAAGTTCGTGTGCTTTTTTTAATTAAAAAAGGACAACATTAACAGATGAAAAACCTTTTTTGTGGTTCAGTTAAACCTGCACACAGGTTTACCTATGGTGCGCCCGTTTTTCAGCCAAGTGAGCGTGGGTGGAGGGATTCCACTCGCGTCACAGTTAAAGGTGACCGGATTACTGATGGTTTCCACAACTGTCTCCTCTGCTGGGCCATCGATACTGGGAGGTACTGAAGGAAGAAGAAATTTAAAGACATATCTTTAATAATATTCTGCAGGTGGACACTGGTTGAAATAGGTTCCTGGTGGATTTTCAGATTTGTAAAAATGTAAATATTTGGGAAAGACTACCATAGATGTTCAAGTGGAAGTGCTTGTCCACTTGCCCGGCAACATTGGTGGCCATGCAAACGTACTGTCCTGTATCAGACACCTGAAAAATACAGACAGATGCAAAACAGATAAAAAACATATAAATAGTTAATTCAACACTTTGGTTAGGTGCTTTTAATCCAGCAGAGGGACACGACATCATCGCTGGTTTCCATTCGTCTCTCACCTCTGAACCTTTGATCTCGAGGATCTGTCCCTCAGCCAAAAGGCGCAGGTTGGCTGATTCTGTCACCACTCTGCCGTTCTTATACCAAGTGATGACGGGAGGAGGCACAGCATTGGATTCACACTCCAGAGTTACAGATTTCCCAACAAGCACATTCACCACCACAGGAGAGTCCCCGCTATTGTCTCGGATGCTGGGAGGAACTGCGGGGGAGGAGGTAAATCAGCATCAATTGAAGACAACACACGGAGCTACACTGTGCAATAAAACCATTGCAGAAACAATCTGACCGAAAACAGTGAGGTAGATGTGTTTGTGAGCCTCTCCTGCTGCGTTCAGGGCCACACAGCTGTACTTTCCTCCGTCGGACACTTTTGCTTTCAGGATTTGTAAAGTGCGTCCACCTGCAGGCACACGCAGACACAGAGAAACAGTGTTTTTCATGTCAGTTTATCGTCTGCATAAAGGTATTTTTGATATCCTGAGTCTATAGGTGAAAGTAACTCCTTCACAGTACCCGGCATGATGAGTGCATTGGTGTTAGCTTGAATTGGGCCCCTGCCATTGAGCCAGCCCAGTGTTGGAGGAGGGAAGCCAGTAGCTTCACAGGAGAGAGCCACAAAGTTGTTCACAACCACCGTCACATTCTCAGATCTCGGGCCGATAATGGTGGGAGGCACTTAACGACAAAAGACGAGGAACATTCAATAAAGCAGGCAGAAGACAAAAATATTTAATTTGCTGTGATGAGGGAAAAGTATTTTACTACATTTGTTCATGTTGTGACCAGAGATGGGCAGACCATGAACAAATGTACTGTAATCAGATTACTTTTTTCAAGTAACGAGTAAAGTAAGGGATTACTATTGCAAAAACGGTAATTAGATTACCGTTACTTTCCCGTAGGAACGCTGCGTTACTGCGTTACTAAAACCATGATTTTTTGCGAGAATGTCTCACGACAGTGACGTAAGCGAGTGCGACATTCGTGACAACAGCTGTGTGCAGATCAACAGTGGATCACATATCGAGTGCAGAGAGAGTTTGAGCGTGCAGCGTTTAAAGCGTGGAAGTACTGACCTCACTTTGAGTTTGATTCCATAAAAAGTGACAAAAACATGAGTGTCCGCTGTGCGTGGGAAGAAAACTTCTTTTTACAGCGAAAAACCCCTAAACTTCCAACAAGCACCGAGTAGCTACGACGTAATGGGAAACTCACAGAGAAACTCGCGGATTCTTCCACTGACCGCGGCACACCTGCACCAGGGTAACCCTCCGCCTCCCCACTCCTGCTTTACAGGTGAAAATAGAGCAACAGGACCGCTGAGTCTTTGACTTTATTTATTTTCTGCTGTGTTTTACTTGCATCTATTTGAAAGACTGAGTGTAAACACAAAAATATTTTATTTTATGTGCTGGAATGTGCAGAAAATAGGTTTAAATGTTAAACTAATTTCTTCCAGTCAGAGAATGTTGCAAATAGCTAGGTTTCATTTGACGTAGACGTGACGTCGACGTAAAGCGCGAAATTTGACTGGCGGTCGGAAGTGAAAAAGATAAGCGCAAAATCACAGACAGACAGTACGCAAAATGCCTATGTCCTGTTGTGTTTACGGATGCTCCAGTAGGTCGACCCGAGAAACTGATAAACGGTATTTTAGGGTACCAAAAATAGCCCAACGAAGAGGAGAAAAATGGAAAATTCTAACCGAAAAACGTAGGAAAAAATGGATTTTAAATTTACGTTTACAGTCGGGAGGAGCAGAGTCTGCCAATGCCCGTGTCTGCAGCGACCACTTCGTCAGAGGTAATGTTATGTTTGCAAACGAACTTATTAGCATTATGTTGTCGTTAAATTTTTGCTTGATGCATAAAGTTAAAAGATTAAAACTAATAAAACAAGTTTTAAAAAGAGACTTTTCCATTTGATTACATTTTGTATGATGGATTATGCAGAAAAAGTAGAATTGGGCTGAAAGATCTATCGCTTTATCACCTATTCAGGTTGTAAATCGTGTTTTTAAAAAGTAACTAAGTAACTAAGTAATTAATTACTTTTGAAAATAAGTAATCAGTAAAGTAACAGGATTACTTTTTGGGGGAAGTAATCAGTAATTAGTTACTGATTACTTTTTTTAAGTAACTTGACCAACACTGGTTGTGACACATTTAAGCTGAAAAGGAAAAGGGAGTAACTCACCATGAACATTGAGATTAAATGTTTTTTCTGCACTTCCAGCCACATTTTCAGCTGCACACACATAACGCCCTGTGTCCGATACCTGAGCCGTCAATATCTGATGGAGAAAAAATGTTGTAAATATTACCCAAGGTGCATTGATACTGACATGTTTACATAAACAAGTAAAAGAAGTAAAAAGAACAATTACAGTTATTTTCATTGTTGTCAAGACATCGTACCTTGTGTGGGGTATGGGAGGTTTAAAAATACTAATTTAATCAGTCTGTGTTTCCTGGTTGTTACCTGAAGTGTTCTCCCATTGGACAGAATTCTGTGCAAGCTGTTGGAGGTGATTGGCTGGTTGTGCTTAAACCAGCTAATTTTGGGGGCCGGGGTTCCCTCCACGTGACACTCCAGTTGGGCAGTTTTATTGACCAGCACTGTGACTTCATCAGGCAGGTCGCTGTCTGTTCCGCGTATGGTCGGAGGTACTAGTGCAGAACACATACATGCATGTGAACCGTTCTCTGCTAAACTGATCGATACTTGTCCCACAGAAAATAAGGGTGTTTTTACTCACACAGCACTCTAACATCATACTGGATGGAGTCCTCTCCTGCTTCATTGACAGCCACACATGTGTACCTGCCTGAGTCCTCAATCTGGGCCCTGGGAATCTGTAGCACTCGCCCACCTGAGATTAAAGCAGTAGAAAATGTGTATGGACTAAATATCCTTCACATTTCATCTCTTCCTTACAGTTTTCGTCATCTGTCTCACCTGGCAGGATCAGAACTTTGTCATTCGATGTCAGCAGATGTCCGTCTTTGTACCAAGTGAGGGTCGGAGGGGGGACGGCGTTGGTCTCACAGTACAGGGAGATGGGATTGTTGAGTATCACGTCTCGTGCATCAACTCCAAAGCCTGAGGAAGACGTGGTATCACCATCTGCACCAGGCCTGTTAAAATTAGGTGGAACTGAGCAGCGGGGAAAAAGAGGACAGACGTTAAAACCTTACTTCATGCATTACATTACTAACAGGAGGAAACGCCATCAGGCGCATGGTTGTGCATTTATGTAGGGTCTTTATTAAATAATAGTTGCAGTGCACACATCTGCATTAGTCAACCCAGTTCACCTTGTATATTTACATCAAAGTCCTTCTCATCCTCTCCAGCTATATTAGTGGCTACACAGGTGTAGCGGCCAGTGTCTGACACCTGAGCATGTTTGATCTGAACGATCCGCCCGTTGGCTGTAATGGACACGTGGTCATCTGACTGCAGGATCTGTGCAGAGAAAAAACTTTTTTTTCAAGCCTTTAATCCCACAGCTTTAAAAAACTGTGAAAATATCCCAGACGTTACCTGTCCATCTTTATACCACTGCAGTGCGGGGGTAGGAAAGGCCTGAGCAACACACTCCAAAGTCAGGGTGCTGTTAACCTTGATTTTGACCTCTTTAGGGGCCAGTCCTTCCCCGGGAATGTCATTCTTATTAATCTGTGGAGGAACTGGAGACAAAAACAAGTTAAAATATGTTTAATGTAAATCTGATTACTGGTAATTCTTATCAGTAATTTACAGTTGTGGTCAGACGTTTACGTCCACTCATCATTGATATGAATCTCTTCTAATGATTGCTTTTGTCCAAGATGGAAGGATTGTACAGTATACATCTTTACTGCCCTTCAAAACAAGAATGAGGGGCACAGGTTTGAATTTTTTTTGGATACATGCAGGCTCTAATATATACAGTGAAGCCTATAATTATTCATACTTCTGGCAAATTTTGACTTAAAGTTACTTTTATTCAACCAGCCACTTTTTTTTGACCGGAAAGTGATGCAGGCGTCTCCCAAAAGATAATAAGACGATGTACGAGAGGCATCGTTGTGGAAAAAAACCCATTTCATACCAGACTTGAGCATAGTTTTCCTCTGTTGTTCCTGATCTGAGGGTAACAGTTTGCATCTTCTTCCAGACCGTGGCAAAGTGGTGACACATCCGAATGAGTTGTATTTACATACAGTTGTTAGAACTGATGATCTTGGGATTTGCAGTTGTTTAGAAATCTTTCACAACTCGTATAACTCTACAATTCTCCTTCTTGAACCTTCACTGAGTTCCTTGGACTTTCCCATTGTTCTGAGCAATGGCCAATCCAGTGATTACTGTCATACAAATCCTTTTTATGCTGAGAACGACCAGTTGTAGTCAATCATGACCACTAATGAGAAATTAAATCGATCCTGTCAAGTTAAAAGGCATTGTAGAAGATTCAGCAGCACTTTTGACCCCATGTGGGTGAGAGACAATCCAACATCATTTCAAACTTGTGCACTCTGTTCTTGTTTTTTTAAAGTCAATAAAGATGTGTGCTTTATAATCATGGTTCCCTGGAAAAATGAACAGTTCTAATAAATCACTGAAACCCCAAATTACCATGACATTTATGTCCATGATGAGTGGATGTAAACTTCTGACAAGGAGCTGTAAATTATATTTACTTGTACGAGAAAGCATGTGCAATAGATTATGCTAGAACTGAACACACATAAAACATTTTATGCTGCAGCATGCTCCCAAAGCTGAAGGGGTCTCACCATAAACCTTGACCTCATAGTGCTTCAGTGTCTCTCCAGCCTCATTAGTGGCCACGCAGGTATACCTCCCAGCATCCTCTTGTTTAGCATTGAGAATCTGCAGCGTTCGCCCACCTGTAACAGCCACAGAGTCACGATTCAAAGATTCTAACACATTTTCCTTCTGTCCCTTTATTGCTTCTTTATTTTCATTGTGCACGTCATTGCAAACCTGGAAGGACTCTGACGTTGCGACTGGATTCAAACGGAGTGCCATCTTTGAGCCACATGATCAGAGCAGGAGGGTAAGACTGGACTTCACACACCAGTGAGGTGGGGCTGCTCAGGGTTACTGTAACCTCCTCTGCAGAAATGTCAGGGCCTGACCCAGCAATGGTGGGAGAAACTGGTCAAGAAAAGAGGGGAAAAAACAGACAAATAAGTAATATGATTTCATTCCACGTGTAATGAACTCAAAGTCTCCAAAATGGAAAAAGAGTTGTCTTTGTACCCAGGACATTAAGATTGTAATGCCGACTGCGGTCTCCTGCACTGTTAGAGGCCAGGCAGCTGTACCTGCCAGTGTCTGCGACTTGGGCTCCAGAGATTTGGAGGAAACGGCCATGAGACAGAAGTTGGTAATGCCCGTCAGGCACCAGCAGCTGTCCATCCTTCAGCCATTTAATCTCAGGTACAGGATTACCTGGGAAATTGTAAAAGGGCTTAAGAAAATTGTTCCAAAGCACAGAGATTATCTTGACTGGAACTTACAGTAAGGATTGATCCAAACATTTCATTACCAGATTATCTCAAATACCTGATGCTTCACAAGTGAGAGTGATGTTGTGTTTCTCCTTCACTTTAGTATCCACCATAGTTCCCTCCTCCACAATGCTCGGGGGAACTGTCGGAAAAATCAGTTAAATAGTTATTATTTTCTATCAAAGTCCATTTTATCATTAAGTGGAAAATAAACATCCATCCATTCATCCATCCATGCACCCATGATCTGCACCTCCCTGTCTTCAGCCACCTCCTCCACCTTTTCGAGCATGGTACAATATATGTAAATGCACAGTCACTTTAGTTAGACAATATTACGGCATAAAGCTAAAAACAAAAACAAACAAACAAACAAAACATGATACAATAAATTTTCTATTTTCTCACCAAGGATGTCAAGGTCAAAGGTCTTCCTCTCCTCCCCAGCGCTGTTAGACACGATGCAAGTGTATCTCCCAGCATCCTCTGCTGCAGCATGCATCAGACGCAGGCTGCGGCCACCTAGAAGTTAAACAAGTCCATTATTATTATGTTTCTATAACCACGTGTAATGTCTTTAAAAGCTAGGTCAGAAGAAAAGTACTTTTTTTTTTCCAGAAATAAAACATGACAAGAACACGTAAACAGGCTTTTAAACGTGTTGAAATGACATTAGTCTTTCTGAGCACTGAAATCAATCAACACAGAGAAGCTGAACTCTTAGAACCACAGCTGTTCAAACATTTAGGACAGAGTTTAATGATATTTCAGACTAATGTCAGTCTCAACAGCCAACAGCGTAGCTTTGCCACAGTTAATGAGAAAATAAGTGAAAAATAATGACATGTTACTGAAACAACTCCAGGTTTGACAACATGAGTGTCATTAGGATTCACTCGACACTTTGTTACAGTTTCCATTTCCAACTTTTCAAATTAATATTAACATTCTTTTGCTTCACAATTTAATTGTTTTTCTGCTGGTTTTTCACAGAACTGGCGTCTGCATTTGGCCGTGGTCGCAGTCATTCCATAATATTATTATTGGCAGTGCATTGCAAATGTTGAAACCTCTGAAACCTAGCTGGGAAGTAAAAAATCAAGACTAAGAGCTCGAAAAGTCACGAAAAGTCAAACAGGAACAGACCTGAAAGGATGCGCGCTGAACTAGTCGTTTTAATTGGCTGACCGTCCTTCAACCAGGAGATGGTAGGAAGAGGGATGCCGGAGGCCTCGCAGATCAGAGCAACTGGGTTCCTCATGACAACACTCACATTTTCTGGAAACTGCACCTGCCCAATTATACTTGGTGGGACTGAAGATGAGAGAAAAGGAGGTAAATGGACACAAAGATGATTTCTTCGATCATTATGAAAACACAAAAAACTTTAATCTCTGAAAGCAATTCCTGTTTCATACCGTGCACGCTGATGTCATGCTTCCTGTCAGCCTGTCCCGCCACGTTAACAGCGATGCACGTGTAGCGTCCCGTGTCTGACACTTTGGCATCTTTAATCTGCAATAGCCTCCCCTCGTTCAGGACCTTTGCACCATGCTGGCCTGTGATCGGCCGTCCGTCTTTCAGCCACGTGACCGCAGGTCGCGGCACACCTTCAGCATCACACTGTAGCGTCACATCACCTCCCTTTATCACAGTGACCTCATCAGCGCCGCCTTCGGTGCGTCTGATGGAAGGACGGACTGAAGTGAGAAAAGCGGGTGAGTGGTGTGTCATTAAAAAGATGAGAAAAGAGAAGCTTTTTACTGTTTTTATCACCTTAACTCTTTCCCCCATAGAGACAACATTTAACCAAGACCTGTACAGCCTGTATCCTTTATAGGCAAAAAGGCAATTGAAAAAAAAAATGGATGAATTCGTGGTGTTTACACACCATAAACCTGCAGGCTGTACTCCTTGGAGACGGTGCCAGCCGCACTGGAGGCCGTGCATGTGTAAGAAGCAGCATCTGTCTTCTCAGCGCTGGAGATCTGCAGCTGACGACCTCCTGACAGAATCCTGACCCGCTGGTCAGATTTCACTTCAGAACCTGGAATATAAACAAAACACAGGATAGGTGAGGCGTTCCAGCACGCCACCCGCACATGTATAGTTTTTGCTCTTGGGCCACAAGCAGAAACTGGCTTACCATCCTTCGTCCATGTGAGACTGGGAGGCGGTATGCCACTGGACTCACACATAAGAGTGATGAGACTGCCTTCAACTACCGTCAGAGGAGATGCCTCCTCAGAGCCTCGGATACTGGGAGACACTGTAATAGCAAAGGGACGCCAAAAGGAGGCAGTCACGCTGCATGCATTAGTACTAGTAAATGAGCGATGCATAAATCGTGATGATGGGCTGCAAAGAAAGATCGAAATCTACTAACAAAAAGCTTTTTGTTTCTGTTTTGTCTAACAGTCCAAGAAAGACTGAAAAATCTCTTCAGGTCAGTCCAAATGCACGACAGTGACACAAGATCAACTTACCCCACACATTGAGGTTATAGTTCTTCTCTGTTTTGCCAGCAATGTTTGTGGCTTCGCAGGTATATCTGCCTGAGTCCTGCACATGCACCCTGCTGATCTGCCAGTTTGTAGACAGAGAACAGAGTTTTGGCAAAAACTTCAACAGCAGGAGAGACGGTCATCGTTAAAAGGGGCCTCTTAAGATTAAAGTTAGCCCTTCCAGTTGTCTTTTAGCTATATGATGGTTGTATGATGAACTGTACCTTAAGCAGACTAACATCTGCTGACACAGTCAGCCCAGGCTTCCTAAAGAGAGGGCGGCCATCTTTGAGCCAGGACAGGGTGGGTGGCGGGACTGCATCACTCTGGCAGTGCAGCTCCACGGGTTGACCGAGCATCACTGTAGCATTCACCTCCTCGCCCTTGATGTTTGGTGGCACTGTGGCAAAACATGAAGACGAGCTCCTGAAAAGGCTTCTGTCATCGAATGAATACTTTCTGGGATGAAATCATTTAAATGACATGATTCGGAGTAAATCTTTTGTATTAAGGGTGCGCTGTTGTGAAAGTGCTGCTTTGTCCCACAAAGCACACTAAACTTGCTAGATTACCTCATGGGTAAACAATATAATTGCTTCCTGAGCAGCACAGGCGCTGTTTGTTGTGCATCTGGTGCTCTTTAAGCTCCAATTGCATCCTGGGTTATGACGGCATCATTAAACCAGTTCGACATATTTTAGTGACATTATAAATCTGAGTTTCTTTGTTTCCCAGAAGGTTATGAAAGCTAACGTCACTGGGAATTGCTAACATGCACTGAGATGGAAAATGAGTAGGGATTAAAAAATACCCGTTGGATGGCCGTTGCTTTGATTTCCAGCAATTTCAAGAAGTTCTGGACAGGATGTGTATTTGCCACTGAGCATCTGTGCAACGAAAGCACACGCCTATGAAATGAACTGACTTTGAAGTAGCTCAGGAAATCATTTCTCTGGGAATAATAATGTAATTATTTTAACAGGAGGCAGAAATCCCAGAATATATGAGATGAAAGGCGTTTTGTTTAAGCCTCTGTTTACAAGTTTTTCAGAAGACAGTCGGCTCTTATTTAGAAAATAACAGCAGGCCAATGTCCCTTCAACTGTGGTCGCTGTTCAGACAGAGCCCAAGTCATCGCAGAAGGACGGGAATAGGCTATCAGCTGAAGAATGGTACCAATTACCACAACAAATCTGCCTTTATTTCAGTGGACAAGTTCTTTTTCCCTCCTTTCTTTTTGATCTCTGCGAGGAAACTCGCATCATGTGGATGTTTGCATTCTGCATGCATATACGAACAAAGATCCAAACACAGGCTCTACAATCCCATGTATGTAAGATGACATGTTTGCTATTACCTCAGTGACATTAGCTTTGATTAGACTTGTATAACAGCTGAGTTGCCATCAAGCTCGGCTCTGTTCAGGAGGCTGACAGCGTTTATTGAAATGCTAAACTCAGTCAAGCCGCACTTCCTCTACACGCACATGCTTTGCTCAAGGCTCTTGCCAGATATTGTTTCTGTATTATAATTCACAGCCTGGTGCTCAGTCTGGTTTCTGCTGTAAGACATTTGACAGTCAGTCATAACCATTAGTTAGCAAAACAAAGCAGCTGAGAAGGAGCAGCCGTAACATGCATGAGTACGATTAAACTCTAAAGAGAAGAACCAGGGCATGTAACGAGAGAGTGCACTATGATGTTAAAGCTTTTTAAAAAGGCAACATTAGTGATCCACAAATAAACAGGTGAAAGTCAAAACCTTGGATGGATGGACGGATAAATCTGTTTTTAAAACTATTTTATATTTATACGGTAAAATACAGATACTTGTGTCTTTAGTATAAACAAGTTATTTGAATTGATTCATATTTCATGGATATGCATTTATTTGAACCTAATGAACATGCATTCATCATGCATCATCTTCTGCTTATCCAATTCAGGTTAATGGTGGGACTGGAGCCATGTGGCAAGAGGCAGTATGCACCCTGGACAGGTCATCAGTGTCACAAAGCTAACACAGACTGTTACACAAATTCACACCGATGGCAAATTTAGAGCCACCAGTTAACCTAAGCTGGGGACTGCAAATGATGTCAGACACTTTTCTAAAAAAACAAAACGAATAAAGGATTAAAAAAAATAATGTACTATACATGCTGTTTACCATATGATACCATATAGGTACATGTATGCAACAACAGCTGTTCATGTTCTCACCATAAACCTTCAGGCCATAGTCCCTGTGCTGTTCTCCTCCAGCGTTGACAGCCACACAGGTGTACCTGCCTGTGTCGCTAACCTGTGCGCTATCCAGGGACAGCACTCTGCCACCAGCAAACACCTGACAGGCCGACGGAAACAGAGCAGAGGTCACGTCACGGTGCTCGGCTCACGCACAAACTCACAGCACACAGTCGTTAAAAGGTCTGCAGAAGACTTTTATTATTATCTAACACAGAGCTTCCGCACACCTGCAATGTTCAACATAACCTGAGGATAACGTCGCCTCGCATTTTGCATCACAACAGATCTCTGGAATGATCGTTATACAAGCCCGACACAAAGCACTAAGCATGAATGTAGTGATGTCACCTGTATGCCATGTGAAACACTTGCCACAGGGCTGCCATCTTTGAGCCATGTGATACTGGGAGCAGGAACCCCTGTAGCCTCACACTCCAACCTGACGGCTTCATTCACTACAACAGTTACCGTACCGCCTCGGCTGGAGATGACCGGGGGCACTGCAAGGCACGAGGATAAAGCACTCAGTCAGTGACGATCTGCAACGCCACTGGAGTTGTTTTTGTTTTTCAGCTATCCGCATATTGTCATCATCTGTCAGCGACTAATCTCTAACTTATAGAGATAGTATTACTCACGAACAACCAAAAAGTTTCGCATACTTCTGCTTAATTAATGAGAAAGCCACCCACCGAGGACCTGAAGTCTGTGAGATATCTCAGCAGCTCCAGCCAGGTTCACAGCGACACATCTGTATATGCCAGCATCGGACAGCTGTGCTCGTTCAATCTCCAGCATCTGGCCACGCTTCCGTAACGTCACACCAGCTGCACTGGTCAGAGGTCGGCCATCTTTGTACCAAGTGATAGCTAAGGCACGAAGGATATCAAAAATACTTTCAGCAAAATAACTATTAAACAGAAAACTAGGCTTAAAAGAGATTAATGAGAGTTTGAGTTTATTTAAAAACTGAAGACAATGGCAAATAAAATAAATGTTGGACTAAAAATCAAAGTTTATTTTAAAGAATTGTAATTTTTTAATTTTTTTTAGAATTTTTAAAGTTTATAAAGAATTTCCGTTGCCGAGTTATGGTTACATAGATACTAAATTGCTGTACTGTAACACTTCCTCTAACAATGAAGAAAGTGATTTTACAATAAGAACCTAGTTACACATGAATTTATATGTAGCACATCTTTGAGTGTTTAGATCATCCAAATGGAAAAAGAAGGAGAGGGAAGAAGCTGTTTGTAGGAAAACTACACTGTAAAGGCTTTGAGTGCGCACAGTGGGACTGAGGAGGTTGTTAGTGAACAGTCTTACCAGGTAATGGGCTGCCCGCGGCCTTGCACTCGAGCTCAGTGGAAAAGCCTGACAGAATGGTCTGGTTAATGGTCTCTCCAGAGGACGGGATACTGGGAGGCTCTGAGGGACACAAACAGAATTACACCCAGAAACAACAGCTTATTATTATCAACTCTGGATATAGGAGGAGGAAGATAAGCGAGACAAACATGCAGAGCGAGTGATTTGTATATCCATAAGTAAGTTACCGTGGACGCTGAGTCTTATGTGCTGCTGAGCTTCACCAGCTGCGTTAGTGGCCAGGCAAGTGAATTTCCCAGAATGCTCCAGTCTTGCCTCTGTAATCTTTAGTGTCCTGCCTGCTGACTCCAGCTGTGGCAGATACAGAGAATTCAGATTGGTAATTACTGAGCAGTGAAGAATAAGAATGAATCGCTTTCTGCTGCTTCTGCTTCTTCTTCTTCTAACCTGTTAGTACTCTTAAGCCCCGCCTCCTTTCTTTTTGCTAGGAAATTTGAGAAATATGTAATTTATTGAAATGTGCAAACATACATGGAAACGCAGTATATGAAGCAAAAGCAGGCGAATGAGTGTGAAAGTCAATATTTGGTATGACCAGCTTTATTCTTCATCATAACAGGAATAATAGTCCAGCTTCTTGAAAGCTCTTCTGTGGATGTTGGCTGCCTTTTGTTGGATTGTCTGTCAACATGATCCCACACCGCTTCAGTAATGTTGAGGTCTGGGTTCCGGGGAGGCCAGTCCATGACTGATAATCTCCCACTGTGTGTTTTTCTGTCCAGGTCTGCTTTCACTGCACTGACAATGTGCTCGGGATCATTGTCAGATGAAAATGTTGCCAATCACATGTTTTCGAGAAGGTATGTGAGTTTTGACAAGATCACCAACACCAGCCCCCAAAAGATGAAGGCAGACGGATCACCTGACGAGCCAGATGCATCTCTCAGGTCCTGTGTCGGCTCTTTGTGGGATTTCTTCCTGTTTCTTAGGACAAAACGTTCAGATACTGTTCATCTGTTGTGGATAGTTGTGAAGCCTGACAGTTCTTGTCTAGTTTCCAAACATTTTTGAGGATACTCTGGACACCATGCTGAGATATGTTCAGTTTTCAGATTAGAACTCTTTGGTAATGATGTTGCTTTTTGCAAAAATACTCAAAAACTTGTTTTTGACATTTGTTGCAGATTCAGGCTGCTTGTAACAAAGTTATAAAGATACATTTTACAAAGTGGTTGTTTGCTACTTTGTTTGTTACATATAGATACAAAATTACAAGAAAGTCTGGCTCCTCAAAAGCAAAATATAGAGAAATGAGCTGTGTTTCCATACTGAAAGCACTGTTTATAAAAATAAGTAATAATTTGAATTGCATCAAGGAGAGAGGGAGAATCTAGGTTTGGCTGCAGATATACAGCATGTATGGATCTGTGGTTCACCTGAAGAAGTTCATGCTTCAGTGATGATTGATTTTAAAGTGAATAGCTTGAAAATGTCAGACAATTAAGGGACCAACCTGCAGGTGCTCACTAGTTGCGTCGACTGGTCGTCCATTTTTAAGCCAGGTAATGGTTGGAGGAGGAATTCCACTGGAGACACAGTCTAGACTCACGGGCTTGTGGAGAATCACTGAACGTTCAGTAGGTCCATTGGTACGGATGGATGGAGGAACTGCAGAGGTACAGAGGGCAGGTTTTTATCCTTGGAAACATTTTACAACTGAAACTGAGGAACCAGGAAATTTAAAAAAGGTAAAGCGAGATTTTGCTGCAGCTTGCAACTAGAGTCTAAGTAAAGCCATTTACATTTAAAAGATACTGAGATGGGTCTTTTTAATTTTAAAGTACGTTTCTTTGTTTTACCTTGGACAACCACACTGAAGTCCTTATTATGGTTTCCTGCCTCATTGGTGGCCACACACTGAAACAGAGCTGTGTCAGAGACCTGAGCGCGAGAGATGACTAGGCGTCGCCCACCGGCTGCGATCCATAATCCTTCACCCTGTCGCAATAGCTTTCCGTCCTTATGCCACCTGGGAAGGATTTAACTTTACAGTGACTTTCATTAAGGCCTATTTGCATTTGTTTAACTGTGAGCAATAGACGAGCTCTTACGTGATTACAGGCGTAGGTGTTCCCGCGGTGTGACACTCGAGCTCCAAAGGTGTGTTAAGTATAACTGTGGTGACCGTCACATTATCAGATCCATCGATGAAAGGAGGAACTAGGAGTGAAAATCATCTTTTTTAAATTCATTTTCCTGACATTTCAGTTTATGCTCAATAAAATAAACTCTGACAAATATTTCTAGCATATGTGAGGCCAGATACATCAAACCCACAGTGAAGTGACAGGACACTGCAGATAAGAATCAGCAGAACACGAGAGCATCGGGTCAACATGAGTTGTCGTGGCCGAGTGGTTAAGGCGATGGACTAGAAATCCATTGGGGTCTCCCCGCGCAGGTTCGAATCCTGCCGACAACGGCGTGACGCTTTTCTCAGCTGTCAGACAGTTAAAGAGCAAACCTGACAGGCTGCAGTCGCCGATTTTCTGTTAGCAAGTACAAATTCAGAAAATACACTTCCTGTCAGCAGCGTCTTTGAAATAATGCATTTCTATTACAGGCACAGCTGTGCAATGACCCTTTTTTGGTCACAGGCATTTACATTTACTCCATAAATGACAGCATCACGCCGGTAAGTCGATTGTACTTAGTCCTCATTCTTACCAGTTATGAAACACATGCAACTGAGCGGCCAGTTTAGATCACACTTTTTTTCCTGTGATGTTTCTACTTGGCAGAATTAAATGTTGAATTCTATTAAATAAACCTTAAGTAGACTAAATTTTCTCAAAGCAAAAACACTAATTTGGATACAGTAAAGAAATCGGTGTGGAACGAACAACAAAGCCAGACCAAACACTTCCTGGGATAACATGCAAGCAAACAAGCAGGTCAACTTCCTACAAACAGTATCATGTGCATGACTTAAAAATGCATTGTGTGCATTTTGGATGGATAGAAATATCCCAGGTGTTTCCCCATCAGCTGTAGTTCGGGTGATCTGTGAAAAATCACTATAATGACAACTGGGATAGGACTCTAAGAAGAAAATGGAAAGTGATGTAGTTATACCAGAAATCAGCGATTTTCTGTGTGTTTATACCTAAAACTCTGACATCATATTTGACCTCCTTCTCCCCGGCGATGCTCGTAGCCACGCAGATGTAGTGTCCCGAGTCTGAGACGGCGGCCGAGGGGATTTCTAGTTTCTTTCCCTGCTCGAGCACACGGACACTTGCCCCATCGCGTACAGGGACTCCATCCTTCAGCCACGTAAGAGAAGGTGGAGGGTGCCCTCCAGCCTCACACTCCAGGATCAGAGATTTACTGAGAACCACTTTCCTTTTGATGGGCCCTTTATCCCCGCCTGTGACTGTGGGAGGCACTGCACAGGGAGGTCCATAAAAGGGCGCCACGGAAAGAAGAGAACGTGACAAAGGTTTAAAATCTTATTTAAATCTGACACATTTCAGGCTTTTATCAGGCAGAACTTACATCTGGTTTATGCTAAATCACCAAATTAAGCTTCAGAGCCAATAAAGGGTTTTCTAAACACAGAGATGATGGCAGTTTTCATTTCCAGGACTTGTTCTGGACTTGTTGTAAACAACATCATTTAGATTAATTTTTAACAGCTGTTACTTTAAGCTGACACAAAACACAGTGAACACAAAGATGTGTGTCGATATCATTTCTGGCTCTTACAGTAGACGTCCAGCGTGTAGCTTTTCTCAGCGCTCCCCGCCACGCTGGTCACCTTACACGTGTACTGTCCAGCATCAGAGGCCTGTGCACGAACGATCTTCAAGTAGCGGCCTCGCTCTACATGTTGAGCCTGACGGCTGGACAGGACGATCTCTCCTTTTCGGTGCCAGGTTATGGAGGGAAGCGGCACCCCACGTGCCTCACACTCCAGAGTTACCGCAGTATCCAGCAGTGCCGTCACCTCTGTGGTGACATTACCTCCTTTGATGGAGGGGGGCACTGAAATAAACATATAAACATACTGAAATTTGTAATTCAGCTACGTTTGTCCATGTTAATTGTGCTAAAAGATTTATGCACAGTATACAGTAGTGTGCATAAGTCTTGAGCCACCACTCGTTTCTTTACGTTTTGCTGCTGCGGAGCCTGATTTTCCTGAGCAGCAGTTCTCCAGGATTTCTGAAGGTCTTTCAAAGTTTTGGCTGCTTTTTCACTCATTTTCAGTCAAGTCCTTGTACACGACCAAGGCACATAACCCTGAATTATACACATATTTCTACACACGACAGACAGCTTAGCAACAAAACGATTAAAAAAAAAATTCCACAGTTTGACAGCATAAAACTGTATTTTTAAAGCGCCAGCGTGATTCCTGAAGCTCGTTTTGGCCCCACATACTATACTTCCATGTATGTTTGCACACTTTTCCATAAATAACTGCATCTATCCATCTATTTTCTATTTCTCTGGAAATGATGGGTGGCTCAAGACAAGACACAGTGCTGTATTTACATTAGAAAATTTACTTTGCTTAGGATTACACACTAACCATAGACACTAAGGTTAAAGTCCTTGGACTGTTTCCCAGCTGTATTCGTGGCACTACACTGGTAGCGGGCCTGATCTCCAAGACGGGCACTTTTTATTCTCAGAACCTGACCCCTGTTTGTGACCTCCAGATTGGGATCACCGAGAAACACTGGCCTAGAAAGGATTAAGAATAAGAATGAGAACAGGAAGTACTGACCAATGAATGTTCAGCCAACTTCATTTCTTTTCATTTCAGAGCACGCTTACTTCCTGTCCTTGGACCACTGGATAGCAGGAAAAGGGATTCCCTGCACCTCGCACTCAAGAGAGACAGCTTGTTTGATAATTGCTGAAACATCTTGAGGAGAGCCCGAACCTATAATTGTTGGTGGGACTAAGGAGCCAAGAGAGAAAAAATGGCTTTAATAGTACAACTACAAGTTTCTCATTCTGCTGCAGTAATGTTGCCAATATCTGACAAGTTCTGCACGTCCACAAGCTGAGCAGCTCTTATTTTAACATTTAGATTTATCAAACTTATCAAAAAGATTTTTTTAAGTATATTAAAATTCAGAAAGTAACAATCAGGAAGAGAGCACTGTATATGTGAATATGATATAATTTATGTCATGTTCTCTCGTTTTTGGTCTAAATACTTTTTTAACGCAGCTCTGAATTAATTGTACCGAACTGAGAATTGTGGGTAAATCTAGGAGACAGGATTGCATTAACCTGCAGCACAGAATAGTCTTTGTGCGTCGCCACCGACTGTCTTTACTCACCAAGCACATCCAAAAAAAAGCTTCTTTCGGCGTTTCCTGCGACGTTGATGGCTTCACAGCTGTAGCTGCCTGCGTCTGCTGTTTCTGCCTTCAGCAGTCTCAGAGTTTTTCCCATATCAGCAATCTGAATGTCGCTACTTGCAACTACCTGTCGATCAGCATAAATAAAATCACAGTGTAACGTCGTTGTAATAGGATCTAAACAAAAAACAAAAAACGAGCTGCTGATACGTTTCTCAGCAGATTTGAAAGTGGCTGCGGTCTACAGAGAGACAAACCTAATTTAAAATGTATACAAAACACAAAAAGTGTGCAGTTCAAGAAAACATTCGGAGAGAAGAGCGTAGATTTAGATTACTGGTAATTAGTGGATTAAAGTTCTGATTTCACCATCTGTGCCTGACAGGGAAAAACATTCAGCAGCCAAGGGAACAAAAAGCAGCCAACTAACTGGGACGTGACAGCAAAGTGTGTGATGATGCTCTGTTCTCCTCTCAGTTTATCATGATTATTCTGTCATTGCAGCTTTGAGCATATTGAAACCAAGGCTTCTTTGGCAGGTCTTTGTTACACGCACACATGGACGCACACATTTACAGTCTGTTCTCTTGGACATCGCACCCTGTGATCAGAGCCCATTAAGTCTTTCAAGGCTTAAGGCTTCCATCATTATAATTTCTCATTACTTGTTCTCATGTAAAAAGAGACCACAGTCTCATGACCCCAGGTTAAATTTGGCTCATGCAATTTAAAGCGCTCAGTGTGTGTATTTGATTTATGTACCTGTCTTTTAAAGGTGTAACCTTTACACACATGGCAAAATAATATATGTCTTTGTTTCCATTCAATATAATCAATTATTCACATACAGGAGCTCCATCCTTGTACCAGGTGACGACAGGCGTTGGAGTTCCTGTGACGTCACACACCAAGCTGGTGGGCTGGCTCAGGACCACTGACAGGTTGCCGGATGTTTCTCTGTCACGGAAATCTGGGGGTACTGTGGAGGTGCCAAAGGTAATGAGTATATTATGAAATGTAGGGATTTTATTTTTGAACTAGAGGTGCAAAATACTTAAAGAACGGGTCAGTCACCGTTGACTTTGAGCTGGTACTTCCTCTCAGTGGATCCAGCGTCGTTGGCAGCGGTGCAGACGTACTCTCCATTATCCATCGGTGAAACAGAGGCCAGAATCAGCAGCGTACCGTCCTCTAGGATGGACACGCCAGGCTCATTACCTGTCAGCTCCTGGCCATTACGCAACCAGCGAATCACTGGTTTGGGAAGACCTGAAGAAGGGATGGAGACAGGAACACTCGCAAAAGAATCCCAAAGTTGTTCTGTGTTTGCGCTCCTGCAACAGAAAATCTGCACTGTACTCTTTTTAATAAATGCACCAAACTGGTGCATGCACTTTGTCATTCGCTCTCAGAGGTGCCGAGCTCAGGAGCTGGCCCGGGCCCTCAGTTCAATACAATTTACTTATTTTTATAGCAGCAAATCACAACAGTCTTCACCTTCATATTGAAAGTCAAAGACCCGACAATAATAGGGAGAAAGGTTGACAAATCCCTATGAACAATCACTTGGGGAAAGTGGGAAGACAAAACGTCCTTTTAACAGGAAGAACCCTAAACCCTTGCCTTGCTTGTTGCTTCATTATGAACAGACGTGCTTTCATTTGCGTTTGGTTGTGATCCTTGTTTGCGAACTGAAAGCTAAGAGATGGTAATACGGCACCTTTGGCAGGGCAGGGGAAGGCGATACGCTGATTAGCAACCCTCTCCTGCAGAGGACTGTTGAAGGGGGGCTCCAGTACTTCAACAACGGGGGGCACTGAAAAGATGCAAACACACAATCAAACATATCACACACACTCCAAAGCATCTATAACAGTTCGAGTATGGAGCGTCTTAAAATTGAGCGGTAGAGTAAAACTGTAAGTTGCCAACCTTGAACTACAAGCTGAACTCGAGCCTCATCTCTGCCTGCAGTGTTGGTCGCTGCGCAAGTGTAGGTTCCTTCATCATCCAGTCCCACATTGGTCAAGGCCAGACTGCCATCAGGTGACACCGGGTATCTTCTACCATCCTTGGTCCAGATTAGCACGGGCTTTGGGAATCCCTTCACCACACATGGCAGCTCCACAGGGTGACCCACCTGCACCTTCATTACCCGGGGGCCAGCATGAATACTCGGGGGCACTGCAGTAGAAAGGACATGATTTGCCAAGCTTTTCTTCTGCCTCACCTGAAGCTGCATGATATTTAGTGCAGGGATTTCAGCCCAGGAGTTACTATAGATTATGTGTGTGGCTGTGAACTATGTAATCCCAGGTGATATTATGTCTGAGCTGCACCTCTCATTTAGGTAATTGTGAGTACTGAATGAGTAGTTTGACTGTCTGAAATCTGAGAAATGGATATCACACACTGTATATGTTCAGTTATCTATTTTCATGCAGGTGGTTGCATATTTCACTCTGATATTTTGACAGTTTTTACATTAGACGTCAGGAATCTTTACACTCATCATAGATTTTTAATCTTCTAAACTTACCCAGAATGCTCAGCTCAATGGATTGCGTTAAGTTTCCAGCAATATTGGAAGCAACACACACATAGAGTCCACTGTCTGACAGCCTGGTCTCTAAGATCTTCATAGACCCAGAGGGAAGCTTTGCATGTCTGGAAGAAACAAGAACATACTTAAAAACCAAACAGTCTGGGTGAAACGCATGGCTGCAAATTTAGAAATATTAAGAAAAGAAACCTCAAACACACTCACACACTTACAGTTTCCACTCAGTGACTTATTCGGTTATTACATAAAAAAAGACACTTTGGTAATTCTTACTAATCCACCATCAACCATAATTATAGTCAGTTTGCCAGGCGCATAGTAGGAGCAACAGATCACAGGGAGGAGTATGATTACTCAGTCATCTTAGAAAACCACAAACTATGCCCTGAGGTCATAAACGGTTGACAAAGCACTCCATTGTAGATTACAGTATATGTAGGTTCTCCTTTAAACAACAAATCAAGCTCTCTCATTGAGGTTAAAACCAAGATAATGTGATTTTAGCCAAACTTAAGCAAATGTGTCATTGACATGGGTGTAGAAGGTGATTTTGTCTGGTGTGACTTTAATGAAAATGGCAGAATAAAGTCGTGTACATGTGTATGTGTTTACCTGGGAGAGTACGGAGAGATTAGTTGCCTCTCTTTGGCCCAACTGATGATGGGAGGCGGGACACTGTGGACATCACATGGCAAAACAGCATCCTCGCCCTCGATCACCGACATCTTCGTCAGACCTGCTGAGTGTCCGTCATCGCCAGCTTTGGACCTCGGTCGGACTGGGTGGTCAAACACACAGACATTTAATTCCTCGCTGCTAGCATTTAGGCATGTAGATATGGTCAAGCTGACCTGCTGAGGTTCAAACTGAGCATCACACGAGGAGGAAAGGAGATTTAAGCGACTTTGAATGTGGGTGATTTGTTGGTATCATCTTTTAGAGTTTGCACAGAATGTGGACTTGGTAAAAAATGATCAGTGTGATCCCGGAAACCTTAATTTAGCAATAATTTCTTGACGTAAAATGCTACATTTAGCCCCCGTGCTTCTTTACAGACTATGTGTAGCCTTCAGCTGGTGATGAGGTTTACCATAGACCGTGAGCTGGACCTTCCTGGAAGCATGGCCAGCAGCATTAGCAGCAGTACAGATGAACTCTCCGGTCTCATTTCCAGAAGGGGAAGTAATAAGGAGGCTGCCGTCAGGATTCAACGAGAAGGCCGAACCACCCAAGTTCACTAGCTCCCCACCCTAGAACACAAATCACAGCAGGGCTGGATTTTACTTCATCAGCTCAGCTTTAACACTTGATTTGTTGTCCAAGACAAAGAAGTGTGGTTTGACCTACTAAATACTTAAATATAAAAGCAGATTCTTTGCCCGCTTCTTACGCAGCAGCGCTATGAAGTAATTATTGCAAATGCACAAATCATATAAACCCAAAGCACAAAGCCAGTGTGATGTTAGTGCAGCGGGAGTGTGTCATATTTCAGCCCTGCAGTCACTAACATGCCATCATCTGACTGATGTTATAGAAAACAGCAAAGGAATCAGAGGGAATCACGTTTTAACAGCTGGTGCAGAACTTAGTAGGCTCTAGTTTCATATGTCCCTGTAGCCCTGTTCACTTTAACAGCAAGGCCTTTACAACTCTGAGGAACGAGTGTAAAAGACTGAAAAGAGGGAGGGACTGTCCACATGCATAGACTGGCTCAAAATGTGAGCGCTTGAAGGCTGAAGACACCGTGCAAGCTAATGGACGCAGGTAGATTCCATAGTGCAGCACATCAAACATGCACATGTACCCTCGCAGAGCCATTTTCCAATCGAGCGCTATTGTCTCTGTGCAATCCTGACCTCTGACACAAAACAATGCAGGAACCTGTTCCTTCGCAGTGGAAAACAATGCATCCACATCTGGAAGGTTTCAACTTGAGCTCATCGCTGTTCAAAATCGCACAAACACAAATGCTCTCTGTGTTAGCCATAAAACAGGCAACAGGAGAATAAAGAGGTTCATCTGTGCACGGGTACGCGAGTCAACTGATCCTTTAAGTGTGAGGGAATCAGGGAAAATGGCTATTAAGGAAAAGGGGAATTATTTACTCCTTCCAAATCATCAGGTGAGAGATTGCGATGCAACCTGAGCAATATTAAGTGTTAGTTAACAGCTACAGTTAACTATTAGTTGTGTCTTTCATCCCTGTGTCATATGGCTTCTCTGTGTGTGGCACTGAAAATTATTTGGCAGCATTTAAAGAGTCTGGCTTTTTTTTTGGCTGTTTCAAGTGAAGAGATGCACACCTTTGTCCAGGTGATATCAGGAGCCGGTACTCCAGCGGCACGGCAGGGGAGGGAGATGGGCGTTCCTTCGATTGTGCTGAATACCTGAGGGCCATGCTGAATGGTGGGAATCACTGCAAAAATGAAAGCAAGAGAAGATACGGAAGAATTTCATCATCGGGCATTTATAGAATCTACTCCATGCATTTTGTCCTCTGCGTTGAATCTGTGCCTGGATGTCTCCACATCACTGCCACCACTGATTTCCTGTGTGTCTCACGAGCATCTGGAAAGAAGCTGTCCATGCACTGCTCAGTACAGATGTTCCTGTTTTACTTTTGTGCTTTTTTCCCCTCTCGCTCTCTTTTTTTGTGACTGTCACTCCAAGGACTCTGCAGAAGAGATCATCACTCGGAGGCTTGTAACATTTTTTGGAAACATGATTTAGCTAAACAACTGCATCACGTGGAGTGTACACAATACAAGACACAACATGGCGTTCTGGCTGCACACTTTGCAATCTCCGTTAAAACAGTTTCTCATGACTTACTGCAAGATCAATACAAGTGATTTGTGCATGCCTACATGAAAATGACCTAACCTCACTAATTTAAAGGAGCCGCTGCTTTAATATACATGCTGCAAATTGTTCCTGTTTATGTCGGTAGAATCTACCAGCAGCTGATTTTAGTAGAAATGGAGAACACGTTTCACTCTCTCACACACTTTGCTTCAAAGTCTACAGTTCCTTCAGCAGCTCCTGGGTTACATATTCCTGTTCCTGAGCACAAGAGCCTTCACAGTGGAAAGGAGACATTAAATGAAATGATATTTAGAGACATCAATGCAGAAACAGCCCAGGTGTGCTTAATGATATCAGCCCAGGCTTGGTTCGGTTATTTGCATTTCTTCAATTTCTTCAATTCCCGTTAGAGCTGATCTCAATGCTGAACCTAAAAGATGTCTGATAGGTGGGAGGATAACGGGATCATGCGCTTGTCTGTGTAGAGATTTTATGCGTTCTAATGTTTGCTACCGTAAACGTTGACAGCGGTGGTGTGGTTGGCGGCCCCGACAGCGTTCTCAGCCAGGCAGGTGTAGTCACCGGCATCATCCAGCCGAACTCTCTCGATATGCAGACTGCCATCCCTCCTCACTGACACATACTGGTCTGAGGTCACCTGACAGAAGTTGAATGAAACCCTCTTTATTCAACCCAGGGCAAGAATCAAGGTGTGCAAGATATGGAAAACTATTTAAAAATCTAATTCCTCTCTGTGTCCTCACCAGGCCGTAGTTGTGCAGCCACTGCCTCTCGGGCAGCGGATTCCCACCAAGCAGCACGCAAGGAAGAGTCATCGGCTGGTCCTCGATCACGCTCAGCACAGCCGGACTCATCGCGATGACGGGTGAGACTGTGGACACCATTTGGACAAGTTTACGGACGTTATGAGAAGTAAAAATCAAGGACGCCGATGGCAATAAGTGTTTATAAGGTGTGTTCAGTGTGCGTCCAGTATGACGGACAGGGAGTGACTGTTCCTGCAACTGCATCATCAATACTGTAAGTACAGTGTTTATACAGCTGCTAGAACCACACGCACACGCCTTTGTATGTGTATAAATACAAACTTGTAACATCACATTTGTGGAAACAGTTTGGGGTGTTAACACAATCAGTGGTGACGTCATCTGTAGGAGATGGACAACAGGGTGTTGGTGAGGGGAATTTGACGACCACCCCGATGAGCCTGGGAACGCGTACATGCAGCGGACGCACCAAAAGAAACTGCCGTACATCTGCATTTGGTATACAGCCGAGCAAAAAACCAGGTTTTCAGGACTGTATGCATTTCTGAGAAAAACTGAATGCACGCCACCAGTCGGTAGCTTGAAGAATCACTTTTAGCAGCAATAATCTGAAGTAAGTGTTTTCTGTCGACTTTATCAGTGTCTCACATGGTTGTGGAGGAATTCTGGAACACGCAGTGTTCAGTTCAGGCATTTGTTTAGGCACAGCTGCCTTACAGTCCAACAGCATTTCAGCCAGGTTGATGTCTGGACTCACGGTCATTGCAACACGTGATTTACCTGCCACTAAAACGCAAATCTGTGAGTCCTCTGAGGGGTTCACTAGATTGTTTGGATGATGTAAAGGCATGGATGGCTTTAAACTTTCTTAACTTAAAGGAACAGAAAACAGAGGTCATTGCAACACCTTTATTCTTTTCTTTTCTTCTGTTGTAGCTGCTGTGCTTGGGATCATTGTCTTGTTGCACACTTTCACCTGGTAAGAGGCGTTTGTGCTGATATGCTGCTTGGTTTACATCAAACATGGCACCGTGCATTATGGCCATCTCCACTTTGGCCCTGTCTGTCCAGAGGACATCCAGAAGTCTTGTGGTTTGTTTAGATGCAACTTTGCAAACCTGAGATGTGCTGACAGGTTTTTTTTTTAGAGACAAGAGGCTTTCTCTGGGTTAGGGTTTTCTAATTGTGCTGTCATGAACTTTAACATTTAACATACAGACTGTAGAGTCTGATATGTTGCTTCTGGGTTTTTTACAATCTCTCTGAATTTTGCACAGTTTGACCTCAAGATGAATTTGCTGGGAAGTCCACTCCTCAGAAGAACACGCACCTGAACGCACCAGCAAACTGCCAAGACTTCTGATTTTATAGAGGTGCCTCTCCCCTCACATTCTGCGGAAGCATTAAGAATGTACTTTCTTTTATCCCATGAATGTTGTGAGGCATGTTGTCAGTAGGGAAAAGCTGCAGTAGCTGAAGCTGCATAACATCTGGGTGGGTCTTTGCCTTCTAACCTTTGGCCTACATATAAGAGCTCAGTGTGTTTCCACTAAAGAGAAGCTGTGAAACAGAATTAGAGAGTTTACAAGGTTCTAACAAACTCCCAAGATGCACAGGAAGCTTCAGCAGCCATGAAACCGATATGTGTGTGTTTTGAGAGCGACGGAGCTAACTGAGCGATTCGGAGGTTACGGTGCTAGACCAGAAAAATATAATAGTATCAAAGAAATGAGAAATTTAATAAGCTTTTCTTACCTAATCCAGTCACAGCGACGCTGGCCTGGGTTTGGATCTTGCCAAACTGATTCTGGGCCTCACAAATATAAACCCCCTCATCCCCCACCCATAGGTCTGAAGGAAAGAGGGACATTAAGGTATAAAATAACTGTATTTGTATCAGTCATCTGTAAATTCATATACAGCTTAAAAAAATCTTACTGGTGATCTGTAGACGCCCTTTGCTCTGTGAGATAGTGCCATGTGTGCGAGGCCTGTTGAAAAGTGGCGAGCCGTCCTCTCTCCGCCAGGCGATCTCTGGTTCAGGGTAACCTCGGGCATAACAGGGCAGGGTCACGTTGAAGCCGATGTCCACAGCCACATCCGACGGCTCTACGGTGAACTTGGGTGCAGCTAGAGCGGTGAAGAGACCAAAAAGGGTAGAAGATGATCCACGTTAAAGACAGTCTGTCCATGCTTTTTGCATGTTTTGGGTTAGTTACCGATTCTAGGACTCACGCGTACAGCTACTGCGGACAGTTTGCACAATTAACCTTGCAAACAGGTGAATCCACCTCTGTACGACCTTCTTAACTGTAGGTGTAAACCAAACACTTTTTGTTCTTGGTCTGGTAAAGAGCGCATTCATATATAGCACATAAAGACAATGTTTCAAGGCTCCAAATAAAGCGTTGCCAGGATTCAATCGGTGCTTCTATTGTTGTCTTTGGCATGAAGATATGTCACACTCAGGTCATCTAAGTAAAGCGTGTGTATAGTGTAAAATATGTGTGAAGGTACAAGTATTTTAACAACACCATCTTCAGGGAACATGTGCTTATGTCATTTATACATCTGGCCCCTGAAAAAGGTTTCGCAGTTCTGCACGAGTTCACTGAGGGGATAAAGTCCCAAACAGAGACGACTACCCACAATTCCTCTGAGTTTGCTTCTGTTTAACAGATTTGGATTTCAATTTACTTTTGTTAGTCTTCCTGAAAAGAAAGTAAGAGCTGTAGCTACCCGATAGGACTGGATGGTAAAAACAAAGCAAATATTAAAGCTGAAAACAGAAGCAAAGACAGAAAACCTCAGTCGCACGACATTAGCAACATGCAGCACAGGAAACAGAACTTGGTCCCGCTCTCACCTCCAACGCTCAGAGAGATCCGTCCTGATGCGGTGCCAGCAGCGTTGACAGCCAAGCAGGTGTAATCTCCAGCGTCGGCATTCTGGGTCTCCTTGATGGTCAGCGTCCCCCCCGATGTGTCCACCTCCAAGAGGGACGATGGGCGGAGCTTTTCGTCGCCTACAAAACAGAGCAAGTACAGCAGCGTAACAAAAAATAAGTGTTTTGGTGAAAAATCTTTTTCTGTGCGTTGAACTTATACGTAATCCAAACTGATTGTGGGAATATGTTGACGGTTTCCATTTTTCTTTATTTTCTAAACCTGTCCCGTCCTCTGAGATGCTACCTTTGTACCACCAGATCTCAGGCTGGGGGATTCCAGATGCTGAACAGGCCATCACAGTGGCTTCTCCAACACCAATAAGAATCTCGCTGAATGCCACAGACACTACAGGAGACTCTAGAAAAACAAAAAATAGAAAAACATCAGTACCATAAAGAGAATCAAGGGCAATGCAGTGCACGTGATGCATAAAATATATTAGTAAATGTTGTGTTTGCTTCCAGTGTCTGTGAATGTGTGCGCTCACCCATGTAAGTGAGGATGGAGGTCACTGAGTGTGTCCCAGCCGGGTTGCTGGCCAGGCAGCCATACGCTCCTCCATCCTTTTTCTCCAGATTTTTTATAACCAGAGAGCCACCGGGAGTCATCCTGTGTCTGAAAAGATCGACATTTATTCTATGCGCTGAAAAATCTGAGTTGTATAATTAATATAAAGACGAATGATTGATTCTGTTTGTGCGAGAGGAAATCAGTTCACCTGCTGGACGCCGTGATGAACATGCCGTTGTGGGTCCAGACCAGGCGAGGTGGAGGATAGCCGCTAGCCGAGCAGCTGATCTGCACATCGTTTCCTGCCGTAAAGGTCTGATTGCGCGGCTCTACTGACACTCTGGGCACCTCTAGAATAAAAGACAAGTTGCTAAAATGAATCGCGGCCTTATTCAGTCGCACGTGTTACTGCAGAGCGATTGGCTGCACTGTCTGCAGTGAAACACAGTCGTGGACAGATTCAAGGAAAGCGGTTTGCGCTTTGAATGAGTCCAGCTTCAGTCAGACGTCGTAACAGTGCATAAACTTTTATTGTCACCGTAGTGAGAAGAGTGACAGCTGAGATGACAACCATTAGTGTTTCACAGGACATCTTTCACCCTCACATTCTCGTTTTTATTGGTAACACAGGAGGGAATACTGAATCCAGACCCAGAGAAGCTGGCCATACAGAGATTTTCCAACTGATTTACGATGTGTAACTCTTCTCTTTAAGGGTGTGTTTTCTCTACTCTATTCCCGCTGCTACGATCACGTCCAGTTTCTCCGACCTTTCCTACTTCAGGAAAATCCGTCTAAGACTTCCTAATGTAGAGACTTTTCTGAAACATCAAATCTGCGTCCCTGCCAGGAACTTGCTCTGGCTTGTGCGCCATCTATAAATTACTTTATGAAAGGTTAGCTGAGGGAATACACTTAAAGAAAATGAAGGCGCGCACACACACACACACACACACACACACACACACACACACACACACACACACACACACACACACACACGTGAGTTGGGTGCTTCAATCACCACATTTTAAAAGGTATACAGCACATTTACCAAATGCTGTCAAGTTTTGACATATTAGAACTTTGACTTGAGAACAATTTGACTTTCCATTGTGAAAAACATCTTAAGGACTGGAAAACACACAAGATCAAAGGAAAGAGTGCCAGAACAACTACAAGGCCCGTCTTCTCTGTCTTCACTTGCCTCTTATTCTCACAATGTCACCGGGGACAGGGGACAGCAGAGAAACTAGGACAACCATATCGACAAGCCTCTCCCGACCCAGCAACAGATGTGATACGTCTGGGAGAGGCTTGTCTCCAGCAGTCCCTTGATCCTCTCCCGCCTCTGCGTCATTCATCTGCCTTCACTCCCTCTCACGATGTATTTATCCCGAGTCTCCTCTTTACACGTCTTCCTCTGACCCCTCTGTCAGACTGCATCTACTATGACTACATCTGTGGCTGTCTAATTTTGAAAAGGCCATGTATGCTAATGACTCACTGGCAGTATCCAAACTATAGACATCCAACTTACAAAGAGTAGTACTGTAAGTCACAACTCACAAAGCTGGACACACGAACACTTCGCCCACATATTTCTTTATCTCTCTCCTCCAACGACTAAACAACCACAAAGCGACGACTGCTACACAGCTGTGGCAAGAAGTCATTAAAAGCCCTATTTTTAGCTGGAAACTTTGTCTGACAAGAACCATTTGAATAAGGCTTAAAAACAACACTCGGATGGTGTGACATGTTGCCATTTAAACAGGTAATTTGTGGAGACACAACAGAAAAATCAAAAGAAGAAAAGACATTTTAAATTAAGGCAGACGGCACAGACACACTCCCAAGTTCCACTGTGCAGCGTCCAAGTGTTGTAAGCTGTCAGCAGACTTGGCTTACTTCAAAGTGAGACTAATCACTAGGATGGGTCTGTACAGGAGTAATTAGGAAACCCCCAGGGCCTGCTAACAGCTGTGTTTTTTTTTTTTACAGAGAAAATAATATGCAAAAAAAGAAAGAAAGAAGCAAAAGGAGTAAAACAAATAGCAATAAACAGGTTAAAATAAACTAGTGACAAAAAAACAAGCAGGTGGAGATATTAAAGAAAAGAGAAAAAGTATCCAGCTAAACAGTTTTTGGGTCAACTGTGTAAGTCGTCACTCAGTGAGACGAGCCAAATGACAGAGTTCCTCTCAAAACCTGCCTGAAGCGCCGGCTTCAAATATTCCCTTAAAAAGACAACAATTTGCTCTGAGGTAAGATCACAAGAACACTTTAAATTTAGGTCTAGAAAATAAAAGCCACTTTGAGTAAACGGCTCTCCTTCTCATTTAAAAAGAGAAGAACGCCAATTTGTCTTCTTTTAAAACCACTGAAACCCAAGAAGTAAAGCATGCGGAGAGATTTAGGCTAACATCGTGCAGCATATGGATTTTGAATTTTCTTCTTCTCTGGTTGTATAGCCAAGCAAACACAGGATGTTCATCTGGACAGATTGAATTAAGGAAAGAAAATAAGAAAAATTCTTCACTCATTCAGACTTCCTCAATTCCTTTCTCAAATGTTTCTGGCTGAGATCCTGTGCTAATAAGTGGATTTTAGCAGCTGTACCGCATCACTGTTTCCTGCCCAGGTGCTGGCAGACGCTCTGTGGAGCTGGCCAGATAGATAGCAGCACTCTTTCATCCATGCAACAGTGTTCCCCACTCATGTCAGTGAAGCGTTAGGAACACGACTATAAGAGCTGTCCGGAGATGGAAAACTCTACTTCAGTGTTGCCTGAGAGTCAACCATAAATAATTTTCACACATCTCATAAAGCGAAAGAGTGAAATATGGGGAGCAGGGGAGGGAAGGGAGGCAGGGGCACTTAAGAGACATATATTTTAGAAAAGTGGTTGTGTTCGCTGAGAATTGCAGGTGCAGGTAGTACAAAGCCACACAGACCATCAGCAGGTTAAAACCTAAGAACACATAAAGACATAAACACACGCTCCTCACCTTGTACAGTGAGGTAGAGCCGCTCTGCAGTCACCCCTCCCTCATTTACAGCGTGACACTCGTACCAGCCAGAATGATCTGGGGTTACGGCGGACACCTGCAGCGAAAGGTTGGCGAGGACGTTCACGCGTGGGTCCAGACGGGCGTCTTGGCCTCCTCTCAGCCAGGTGAGGTTGAAGCTGACGGTGCTAACGACGTGGCAGGTGAGGACGGCCCGGGAGCCCGGGGAGGCAGTTACGTTACCCTGGACTGTGACGGCTGGAGGGGGCTCTGTGTGAGTGTGAGAGCAGGATGAACGAAGGTTGTTGGCAGCAATCGAAAAAAACGTGACATCATAGAATAAACAGCAGTTCAGAGAAAAGTGGTTACTTTCTTTGTGACACTTACGTAAGTAACGACAAAAAGAATCCAATCATGGAAACTGCCCTGACTTTTTTGGAGTCAAGTTTTTTAACCTAAATTTTCTGCACGTGCACAAACTACGAGTTATTGGTCGACTGGTCAGAAGCTGTGAAACACACAAATGTTTGCAAACAACCAAACAACCAAAAGAGATATGAGTTACAGATCAGACAGATAGACCAAAACTACAGAAATTCATCTTTCTTTCTTCTTTCTCAGGAGACTGAAAAGATTTGGCATGAGCCCCCGCATCCTCAGGACCTTCTATCACTGTGCCATTGAGAGCATCCTCACTGGATGCATCACCACCTGGTATGGCAACAGCACCGCCTACAACTGCAAAGCTCTCCAGCGAGTAGTGCGGTGCTCTGAACGGATAATTGGAGGTGAGCTTCCCTCCAAGACATCTACAGGAAGCGGTGCCTGAGGAAAGTGGGGAGGATCATCAAGGACTCCAGTCACCCCAGCATAAACTGTTCAGACTGCTTCCATCAGGAAGGAGGTTCTGCAGCATCCGGTCCCGTACCAGCAGACTGAGAGACAGCTTCTTCCATCAGGCCATCAGACTGCTGAACACGTCATAGACACCTCAGCTTCACTACTGGAACTTTAACATTATGCACTCCACACTGTACAGTAATGCCACTGTTTTGCACATGTCTCACTCTGTATATTTTTATATATTTTATTTATTGTTTACTCTATTTAATTTGTAAAATATGTGTACACACACACACACACACGTAGAAAAATATTTAGTATACACATCCAGAAATGCATATACTATTATATATTGTACATATATTTATTAGTTTCAGATGTAGCCATTCTTGTATTTTGCTTGTTTACATTCTTGTATTTTGCACAACTCTGTTGCTTGTGAAGCTCGCACACAAGAATTTCACTCACATATACTGTACCAATGTACCTGCACATGTGATGTGACAATAAAAGTGATTTGATTTGATTTGATTTATTTCTAACGGTCAAATAATACAGGATGTATTCTTTTTAGCCTCTGGAAATGTATTCCTTGATGTCCTCACACGCCTGAGCAATAATTTATTGTTTGCCTGTTTACAACATTTGCTCAGTCTGATTTTCTTCTGAAATAGATGTGCAAAGGTTTTTTGTTATCTTTTGAAGCACTCGCACATCAAATGATGTCCAAAGTTTGTCAGATCTTATATCCACCAAACTTGCCTGTTGTCCGTCTTTTGTCGCGTCATCATGTCAAAAACAGAAATCGTGTGAGCCTTGCTGTGCCATCAATCATTTTCTCAGTGTGGAACCACAGCTAAGTAGAGAAAAGGGTAATAAAAGGAAAAGTAGAAAAGAAATGGAAGATGTGGCGGTGGAAGCTTTGGCTCTGATAAAGGGAGGATGCTGGGGATTTCTGAATAGCTCTCTGGGATTAGGATGACATAAGTTTGGCAGCAGGGGCGGTATTATGTGTTTGCATGTGTATAAAAAACAGGGCCCTGTCATCCTGTTCAGAGTATAGCTGGCTCACTAACAAAGGTTGGACTTGTGGCTGAGAGGGGATTTATTTCATGAAATTTTAGGGACATCATAAAAGGCAACAGTTAGCCGCACTGAGCTACCTCCGCAACTTTGAACTGTAAACACAGCAGGTCAGTCAGCGCAATGAGTTACGCTCATATATTACACAGGACCCTGTCTGGCTTCTTCTTTTGCTCTTCTGTTTTACAAAGCGTCTTTCAACCTTCTCCACCCAGCTTGGCAATAATCATGCAGATGAAGCTCTGTGAATTCCACAGAGACGAAAGTTTCTTGGAAAGAAAAAACTGGACAAAAAAGATGGAATGAATTCAGACTCATGTGTGTTTGTTTCTGGTATCTTACGACAGGACAGGTTGTGTCTGAAAAATAAAAACTCTGCAGAGAATTTTGGAAACATAATTTTTATTTTGCCCGGTGGTGAGACTAAACATATAAATCACTGTATGATCCCTTCTGGTTCTGTCCTTGCTCAGGGCTTAGAGTGATAAAATTATCATCCAAAAAATGATTTACGTGATCTTTTTTCTCGTTGTGGAGAACAGTCAGTTTCTGTGGCTCAGCTGCTTTGTCAAAACTGTGCATCCAAGTCTTTGACCATCAACCAAACCATCAGTGGGATGTTTTTTTCCTTGAACATCCTGCAGCTTAATTGCAGCTTTATGTTTTCTCATCTTACACTGTAGCCACAGCTCATTTCTTTGCAAATGACTCACAAAAACCATACCATAGGCTCCATTACAAACCTGCACTGAGGCATGGATTACAGCATCATGTTTTACGCTCCATTAAGTTACATTAATCTTGCCATCGTGCAGTGTCTCTGCATGGGCTCGACTGCAGGAGAAACTATAAACTTTAGCCCACGTTGACTGCGACATAGATTCCAGCCATAGGTCCATAGCTTTTGTGTGTGTGCGTGTGTGCATTCATATCTTTGTGGGGACCAAAATCCCAGTCCTAATCAGTTTGAAGGCATTTTTGAGACAAAAAATGTGGCTCTGTTAGGGTTACAATTAGGTTATGGTTAGGTTTAGGGTAAGGGTTAGGGTTAGGGCATGGGGCTAGGGAAAGCATTATGTCAATTAGATGTCCCCACAAGATATGAATAGCCAACATGTGTGTGTGTGTAAACCTGCTAAGCATGACATATACCTGCTGCTCCATTTCACTCAGTAATAACGTGTTGTTTTCTAAACATTGCCCTGCCAGCAGATCGATCAGACTTCATTTACATCTGTTGACAGTCTAATGCTCCCCAGCCTGTAAGCGTTCCTGGCCAGCAGCCATGGCTCATTTAATGTAGTGATGGAGGGTAGCTCACTAATAATTACAATAACAATAACACAGCAACACAAATTCTGAGAATTACTTTAACTTAGTTTATCATTTTGTTGTATTGTCATGCCTCTCCCACACTGATAGAGGTAGTTTATACTTGCATTAGACAACAACTAGCTTACAGGCAATAAAAGCTGGCCCGGATTAACCATCTCTCGCTTCCACCTTGGTTCGACTCTCTTTTGTGTTTGTGTTGTAAATTCTCTTTTTTTTAAACAAAAATCTTCTAGGTTCTCATTATTTGTCACACATCTAAAGCAAATTTGTGAAAATTGGAGGCTTGTCCGTGATTTGTGCCTGAGATCTCTGACGGTGAGCCCAAAAGATCCCGGACGAGCCCCCATTTATGTTACTTCCATAATTTGTAATCCATAACATGAACTAGAGACTCAGATCATAGTTTTTAAAAACAAAAGTCTTATTTAAACGACTAGAAAACGTTAAATGTTTTGGAACTGGTGTTTCATGATTTTTGTGCAATAAACTTTTGTTTACCTGATACATCCAGAAAGGTCCGAGCTCGCCCTGTTCCAGCGCTGCTGATGGCAATGCACTCGTAGTAACCCTCGTCCTTTAGAGTTACCTCGGCTATTTCCCATAATGCACTGTCAGACTCACTAGAATGACAGAGCCACAGGAAATTTGTGAAAAAGTGTTAACGACCAGCAGATTTACTTTCTTTTTTGCTTTTTAAGAATCCTTTTGGTACTCTACCAACTCATCTCTGTAAAATTTAACTGAATTTAATCTCGAGATGGAAACAAAATATAATAGTTTTACATCCTCCAGCATGTCCATTATAATACATCTGTTGAGGACATTATACCTTTTCTTACAAAGCCTGGAAATGTAGTAACAATTAAAGACATTAACCATAACCAACAAGCCACACATAGCCAAAATGATCCATAAAAACTCTCTGAAGGTGTTTAGGTCTTTAACGCTTGCCCCAATAAAGATGACTTTTCAGAGCTCACCTGTCCCTTAATGACCAGTTTTGAGATCTGAGTAAGCATATGGTCTGGCAAACATTCGAATAGATTTAGGGTTTTTTCATAGGTTGCAGAAAAGAGCATGACTCCAAATATAAACGACAACAGATTGAAAAATCAGTCTTCTTTGAATCACAGTGGTCCTAAGCAGAATGTGTTAATCTTAACACTTAATAGATGATATTATATTATTTTGACAGCTGCTGCTCACCTGAAAAGTTGGTCCACCCCAAGTCGTCCTCCATCCCTGCTGAAGCGCAGTGTGAAAGGGATGAAACTCTCTACCTGGCATTTGATTATCCCTCTCTGGAGGTAGTAACCATGAGTTTTGGCTGGCATCAGCACCTTAGGAGCATCTAACGGGAAGATAAAGAAGCAAATGAAGTCAGGAAAATTAATAAGCAAATTGGTAGGAAACCTTTTATATATCCATCTACATATGATTAATAATATGCATCACTGACCAGGTACAATATTGGAGAAGGAAACACTCGAGACTCTCTGGAACAAGAAACCGTTGCGGTCATATCCTGTCACTCGCAGGAAGAAGGCCTCGTTGGGTGGTATGAACTCTGTGATGTTCCAGAGGTTGTACGGTTGACGGTCCGGGTAGTACCGGATTGGCAAAGTTTTGATCACTGTGCCAGAGATAGACAGGAGCTCCAGCCTGTCAGGTCGAGCAGGAGGAGAGAGTCCAGTGGTGTTCAGAAGGATATGGGTGGGAATACCTGGAAAATCAATATGTGTTGTGTCCTCATGTGGAATATTCTGACATCTCAAAAGATGAAAGCAAAAAAACAGCGCATCCTGTTGTTTCCAAAGTTTTTAAATGTTTCCTTTACCGACCTTGAACTGGCCTACTGGATGTCTTTTTAAAGTCCATGGTGGCTTTCCTGGAAAACCCAGCTCGGAAGTCGATGGTACTGAGACCTGAGATACGGACTGAGTGCCTTCCTTCACTTGCGGTCTGTGTTAAAAAAAGGTAGAAGTGTTTTAGGTCCATTTGTTTACCAGATACTGTCTTTGAGGTACCAAGAATTCTTAATGGATAAACCTTTATTCTTAAATTTCAGATGTTCGATCCAAGCTGATCCTTAATGGCGATATGATTTTTAGCAGCGGTCCCGGGCCACGGATCGGTACTGGATCTGTTTGGTACTGGGCCGCGAGAGTTGAAGCTCGGGTGTGAAATTTATGGTTAACAGGGATTTTATCGTTTTTATCTTTAACTCGGTTTCCCTGGGTCTTTTCCTGTGTGTTATGAATAAATTTGGTACTGGTTTTATTTTGTTGTATTTATCCGTGACGCCTTAAAGGCAGGTCCGTAAAAATATTATTGGACATAAACTGGTCCGTGACGCAAAAAAGGTTGGGGAGCGCTGATTTATGGGAATCACCAAAAGGCTGTTATAGTTAACTAAAACGAAACTAAAACATTTTAGGCTTTTGAAAAATATAAAACGACTAAAACTAATTATTGAATTTGGAAAACCTGATCAGCTGATCAGAACTCATGAAACTATAATAGCTCAGATTCAAACAAATGAAGAGGGCGTGGGTCATCAAAGGCGGTGCTGAGTGGTGTAAATGACAGACACAGCTTTGGGAAGAGTCTTTTGTATGCCAACAATCCCCCACATGTACAGACACGCCACTGACAAAGCCACTGCTAACAGCCTAATATCTTACATCTCAATCGGGAGATGACCTATTTGGTCTAAGAATCACTTTAAACACAACGACTATAATCAGAGAGCAGGTAATTGCTCATGTGGTCCTCATCATGTGGAGGTGATTTGAAGCTTTGAAAAATAGAGACAGAGTAATTACAATGAAGTATATGTTGGTGAGAGGTGGAAACCCCTCACCTAAGGTGAAACACGTCGGTGGTGTCACAGACACTGAGTCACAGGGCAAAACAAGGCACGCAAACCTAAACTGTCATTTGCAATTGCCTGAAATCAAAGAGAGTTTGTGAATTTGCTGCATTTATTAATGACTACGTTCTATCTGACGTACAGTAAAGAGAAAACTACCAAATAGGATAGTGCAGAGCCTGCAGGCAAAGATGAGCACAATTATGAAACTATAGGTGAAATTGCTCAGATAATGAGGGGATTTGGTTCAGCCTCAAAGGCTAATGCCTGCATTAAACCCACCCTACTGGCTGCCACAGCATTACACTCGGTCTTTAGTTGGTTGTAACTGAGGGGATAATTAGGAGAGAGGTTCTTCAAAGGTCACTCCTTTAGAAAAGGCAAAGAACAGTGAGTGCAATTAAAACCACTCCCATTTCCCAATTTCACGCCCACCCATACAGACTGACCTGTCCAGGCCTGAATACACCAGCTCTCAGCTGAAGCAGATCTGTGCTGAGACATTTATTTGCTTTCTGGAGAATCACTGATTGGATTCGTACGCAGAGCTTTAATAGTTTTTTTTATTGGTTACGACTTTAATTCATTGAAAAACGAAAGCAAATGTGCAGAGACTGAAGAAGTCGCTGGGTGAGTGACATTAAAAACAACGTTCACATGAACAGAACCAACTCTCTGGGATTTCCTTACCTTAAGCGTGCATCTATACAAAAAACAGTATAATTTCAGCGAATGCCTTTGTTGCATCCTATAATTTCTTAGTAGCTGCATCTGGTTATAATGTCAGTTTATTTTCTTTGTGCGAGTCCTGTGATATACTGCAAGCAAATGAGTCAGAATGACTTTAATGAAACACCAATTTAGGAAAAAAGTGCCTGGGGAGGCTTTGAGCTATTTTACACGCTTTTCAAATTAAAACTTTATCATTCCTATCATGGGTTACAAAATTCTGTAAACACACTCTTCAAAGTAAGCATATGGAAAGTCTGCACTGTAATTCATATCCCTAGATCCCTTTTTTGTGCAGTAGATATGTGGTGCTGACAGACAGCTGTACCACAGAGCTCTAATGCTGGAGCTCCTTACTGCTGGTGATGGCTTTAGATATATCTCTAGATATATATAAATTAAAGCATTTTAGCTTAGGGTTAGCCACTTGTGAATGACAGCGACCTCACAGTTTGATTACCTTATGTGCGTACAGAGGTGGCGAAGTTTGCTTTTAGTGCAAACTGAATTTTTTTTACAGTATGTGTACATGAACTTACCTTACAGTGAAATAATTAAATTCAATTAAACAAAAGTGAGATTAATGTTGCAAGCATTATGTGAAGAAGCAGGTGCTGATAATTGGGTGAACCTGGTTTCAACACATCACTACTTTATCCAATTAAAGTCAGATTAAAATGGATCAAATTCCTTTTCACACAAAAATCTGTGGTCTGGGTGTTACACTGGGATGTCATGGGCCATTAGCGTTACAGAAACCCAGCATGGTAGAATAGCTAAATCCCCCTCAAGTATTTATTCACATTTCTTTGGGTGCCCTGGGAAATACAGCTACAGATGACAAGGAGATATGTATGTCTAAAAGCCTGTTAGAGTGATGTGGGGAACTGAGTCTGGAAAAGCCACTTTCCGAAAGGAAAAACAAGATGTTTTGGGAGTTTAAGCTGAGCAGCGGATCCCTGAGTCTCTGAGGGAGAGAATTAGAGGACTAAATGTGTTGGGGAGGGGAGAAGGACGGGAAGAGGAAGGAATATTCAGTAAGTGACAGAAAGGGAGTGAATGATAGAGTGGGGAAGGGGGCAGCAGCAGAGGCGACTGGATGACATGATTAAGACAGAAAGTTGCTGTCTCTCTTTTTTTGGTGTCTGTTTATATCCATCAGCACTTCTATAAACACAGATCACATTGGATGAGTTAAGTCAGCACAGAACTCAAAGCTTCCTGAGAGCTTTTTAAGCAGATATAAAACAGAACACTACAGACGATTCACCTCAGCGCATATTTCAATCTCAGAGTTTCACTTACCAGTACCCCCAGTAGAGAAAAACAAATATAAGCAACATATTAAAACCTGGAAAGGTTCACGAGAGGTAATTCTGTGTATCAGGGAGTGTTTTCTCTGTCACACAGGAGGAATAAGGAAACGATCTGAAAAGAGACAGACCCCAGCAGTGGCTTAACCTGTGGGTTAGCAGCAGATACAGCTGGAAAGGACTCGTTTTAATTTCTATTTTGCCTAAAAAACAAAAGAAAGAACTACAAAATAGAAGCATCGTATATACTGTGGAATATCATGTAATATAAAAGCCAGAGAGAGTAATATCGCACCAACATGTAGAAAAAGCTACAGCAATACAAATGTTTCACCCATCTCATCGCTCATATGCACCTCCCAGAGTTTGATGCACACTTTTTTATTAGAGGAAGCGCTGAGTCGACATTTTTTCCACACACGCAACAAAAATCTAACTCTATGCAGAGATGAGTGCACCACCGGGGGCCTCAGAGGCAACACTGACACAACGCCGACAAATCACTCAGGTTAACAAAATCCAAAACATCTGGCTTTGACAGCAGCAGTGACAACGTGTGACAGCTGGGTGCCAAGATTAGACAGGAGCAGAGCTTTGAATGTTAAACATTGTCTCGATCCTCAGTGTTGCTTTAAAATCCATCTCAGGGCTCACGTGTGTTTTTCTGATCATGCTTTGATTCACTGGGAATCTGAGATGCCTTCACCAGACAGCGTGCATGTCAAATTGATTACATATCATTGTATCTCAGCATGCTGATATATTACTGCAGTAATTCAAGTTTTGAACCTTCTTCAAGGCCACGGCTCCCTCCTGGGGTCTACGTTGTTACCTCGTTTCAAGGCTACACCACTCAACTATTTGCAGTAAGCGGTCTTAAAAGCAGTCCAGCGATGGTAGTTGTTAGCAGGCTGTTATTTTACACACATTTTCTGCTAAAGAATGAATTGTTTACCTTGATAGACCACATCCCAGGCTGTGGATCCTTGATGTTGACAACTTTGGCAGAGTTGGGAATGTGCAAAAGCTCAGTGAGGCCATCACTCTTCCCCACAAGCTTCCCTGGAGGAACATAGACATGGACCGTGAGATAATTATTTACCTTTTCTACAGCTTTGAATTATACAACCTAATTCTTAACTCTTGCTGCTGGATGGATGCACGTCTTATAAATCATCCAAGATGTCTTTGATACATTAGCCAAGATACTGTAATTAAAACATGTGCGCAATGTATGCATGCCAGATGTTGCTGCTGTCTTTACTATGGCAGACAGAAAAGAAGACGCTTTCGAACACTGTAGTTAAGTTACTCTATTATATGTTCCTACGTGTTAGTATCGTCTAGTTGCTGTTTTAGATAATTAGTCCTTTTTTTAAATTGTTGTTTTCAATTTAGGATTTCTGTTTTGATCTATGTATTACTCTAGCATCATGTGACTGGTTTCTATATTTACTCTATTCTAGCTTTTAGTCCTGGTTTATTACTACCAGTAGGTGTAGTAGTAGTCTTCCCAGATCTCAGTGGGACCTGAAACTTTTGCCACTGAAACTGTTACGTCCAGATGAACAGAGATTTTTGAGATTCCCTTACCTGGATGACTGAGCATGCATTAAGGCGTAAGTTTATGCTTTGGTCCCTCAGTTAGTATTCATATTTGCAGTATTCTCTTTTGATTATGTGATTATCCCTTCATGTCTTCTCAGAAAATCAGCGACTACAGCCTGTCAGGGTTGGTTTGCTCTTTAACTGTCTGACGGCTGAGAAAAGCATTGTGTCGTTGTCGGCAGGATTCGAACCTGCGCGGGGAGACCCCAATGGATTTCTAGTCCATCGCCTTAACCACTCGGCCACAACAACTCTTGCAAAATCTGAGCTGATGCTCGTCTGTTCTGCTGACTCTGCTATCTGCACCGTGTGTGCGCGCCACATGGGACACCGACACCTGTCACTTCACTGTAGTTTCTCTCTGGCAAAGCTAGAAAGCAGAGTGTGTATTTTACATACTGCACATAGAGAAATCTCCTCTAAATTCCAGAGAAACTAAAAAAAGAAACAAAGCTGATTTTGGAGGCTCTGTCACGGTTTCATTTCAAACTGTGGTTTTGGGATCTTGTCAAAATTGACACAATTATGAACATGGATAGGGATAACTGATAAGAATTTAGCAACTCCGATTTTCTTATTGATATCACAACCATCCCTAACCGGCAGTAAAGAAATTAGATTCATGCGACTTAAATGCATGCTGTGGGTCAAATGTTTGTGCATGTTTGTTGTGGTATTTCCCCTCTTTGCTGTTTTCACGGTTGGAGTCGTTAATTTTGATCCACCGTGCAATATCATCTGGAAAGCTTCATTTTTCTGCATGACAGTGATCCCAAACACACTACCAGAGCAGTTAAAGCATCCCCAGATAGAGAGAAAAACACACACACACGCTATGGAAAACTAACAGTCATGGACTGGTCTCCCCAGAACCCAGATCTCAACATACTGGAGCCGTGTGGGATCAGACAGGCAAAGGAAGAGAGGCAGTCGACATCCAAAGAAGAACTCTGAATGTGCTTTAAGAAGCCTAAACTATTCCTGAAGACTACTGAAAGAAACAGGAGCGCTTGCCTGAGAGAGTTCAGCCAGTGTTGAAGAACAAGTGGCCATAGAAAATATTTGTTTTCGAGTTCATCAGAGTTGTACAAACTCTAGTTTTGCTTTCTATATTGTATTTGCATACATGGCTGCACATGTTACAACAGCTCTGCACTTATTTCACTTGCTCTTATATAAGAAACGAGCAATGACTCAGTACTTTTGCACAATATTGAATGCTGCACAAATTTAGCTATTATTCATTATTCATCATTTTAAATGAATGAATACATAATTTATACACATTTTAGTGAATTCTATAAACAATGCAAAAAATACATCAAAAACAAAGCTTTTTAGGAAACATGTTGACATGTGGTTTACATTCATCATACCCTGGGGGTTCTTGATCTCAATGTCAGGTGCTGGGCCACTGAGTGCCACGGTGACTTCCTTGAGACTGGGGTCAAAGGGCATCTGCCACGTGTTGCTGACTCCAGTGAAATGATCAGTGGACAACAGGTGGACCTTTGAGGACTGCACTGCCTCCTCCACCCATTTAAGAACCTACAGCGATGGAAAGGAAATGTGAAGAATGCGTAAGTTACACATATATGGTGTATAGTTTTGGGACCCTGAATCTGTATTCAAACACCTGACAAAATATAATGGAGACTTAAGTGATATAGAAAACTAACACACAAACTGCATACAAGGTCAGCTTCCCAACACGTGAACGCTTTGATCTGGAAGTTTCTAACGATGCTCCGTGTCCTGCCTCCTTCCTCTGAGTCTCTGTGGAGAACTTAAGCCATACTGTGTGTGACCCACATGTCTCGCTATCCAGGACATGTGATGGAACATGCGCTTGTGAGAGCGTTCATCTCAAAAAGGCCTTAGGAAAATGATGACTGCATGGGGAAGCATTATCTGATTGAAATTTAGTCTTGTTGCCTCATTTTTACCTCTCCAGTGAGCATGTTGTCATTTCTTTTTGCACCACAGCAGGTGAAACTGATTTACAGTGGTTTATGTTTCCTAACTGGGCGGATTGAGATGCCTGAAGTTTAACTGACTTTGCTCTATGACGATGATCGAATGTTTTCACTCCTCCCAGCCGGGGCGGAGTCTGGCTCTGGTCCTCGCCTGTCCTCGATCACTGATAATTACTCACCTGCCATCCATCGCCGACGATTACTCCTGCTCTACTTAAGGCCTCAGTGGAGTCTGATTCTTCGCTGGATTGTTGCGCTAACCTCCGTCAGTATAACCCAGCTTGCCTAGTGATTTCCTAGCGCTTCTTTCTAACATCAGCTTCTCTCCCTGTGTACAGAATTCCCTGGACCCTTGCCTGTTTCCCTTCCTCGTGGACCCCGAGTGGATGACAGTGAGTGAGCTTGAACAAGACTGGATTGTGGGTTGTTGTGAGTCACTGGCTGTGTGAAGAGGAGCTTGGATCTTCCCTGGACCTTTCCCTGCCTGCCCCGGGCCCGCTGTTTCCCTCCCAGCACTGTATATATGTATATGTTTCACCTGGTGTCATCCTTGTAAATAAACCATCTTTTGACTTTTACCCAGCGTGAGTCCTGCGACTGAATCCTGCCCTCGAAACCGTGACAGCTAGTTAGAAACCACTTTACTCGTTCATTCCTCTGCACACCTCCAGACCAGAATGCATTTGATGTTGTCAAAAAATGCTGCTCACAAGCCAAGAAAGAAAAATGAAGCATTTCTGAATTTTAACATGGAACTGCTTAAAATCTATACGTCTCAGTTCCCTAGCAGGGGATCTTATCTTACAGTAGTAAAACAGCAATACCATTTAAAGCTCAGGCTTCGAGTCGTTTCTACATCCAAGACTGATGATTTACATTTCTTGGAAAAGTTAAAAAGAGCTACGGTACACATCAATCAACTAAATGTTTCCTGCACACTTGATCTGGAGACCAGACTTGAGCGTGGGCATAGCGAAATACACGAGGAGGCTGTAAAACCTTCTGCTGCCATTTTATTTACAGTACACAGCTTAGGAACAAAACCTGTGATGAGTTTAAATGATTCGATCACTACGACCAAATTACCTCTTGAAACCACAAATGGTTTGAAACCTGAATGCTTGTACGTGCTGAAAAGTTTCCTCTCACCTCATTGACCTGTTTCTTATCTAGATGGAAGACCTGCCCAGAGCTTGTAGAGGCAATCTCCTCGTATACTTTGTAACCAATGTGAGTCCTGTCGTCACAGTCTCCGGTCAACACAAACACCACCTACAGACAAGGTAAGAAAAACATGGTCACTTTGAATCTGAGCTCGTTGATATTACTGAGTGTAGAAAGAAAAAGAAAATCCAAACCTGTGACTGTTTCTGCTGAATGAGCTGCAGGACCTCGTGGGTGAGCTTATAATCTTTAGAGCGCGCGTCAGTGAAGACATAGATATACGATCCGGGCAAGGAGATCTCCAAGGCAATCTTAATGGCACCGATGCTCATCTCCGGACAGTCTCCTCCTCCCTGAGAGAAAAAAGGCAGCCATCAAAAACTAGTTTATGAGTTTAAGTATCCTAAGTGTGAGTGAGTGAACCACCAACAGAGCTTTAAATGCGTTTAAATGAGATTTATGGCAAAACGTTTGCTTGATTTGGACTCTATATGCAGTGAAACTGGCCACTAGCCACACTGTGTGGAATATATGTCTTGAAAAAAATCCAAAGCACTGATAAAATCTAGTGACTCTAGCTCTACAATCTAGAATATAGTGAAAGACACATCAAATAGAAAATATGCAGGGGAATGTATGAATGCTCATTCTTTCCTTTCCACTCTTCTCTCTGGCTTGTCGGTGGGGTCAAACATAAATATTCTCTGCTGCATTCCAGCAGACACATTACTGTCTGTCTGTCTGTCTGTCTCCAGGGTTCAGTACCAAGCTAGGATGCATAACCCCCAAGAGTAACATCTGGAACGGAGTGAGCCACAGTGGGGGGATTTGGGTGGTAGGTAAAGAGACAGGACTCCTCTTACTCCTCTGAACTCCACCATCTCCCCTCTGGACAATGTTGCACTCCCACATTCCCCCACTGTCCCAAACACTAAGGCTAAGCCAACCCCCAACGCACGTCGGTTCTTGAAGTGTGGCCTGACTTTTTCTCCCTTCTGAAACACAACTGCCTTCGTGACAGACATTTTTCAATTTTAAGAAAAATATCAATTCCAAAGAGTATATTTTCCACGCTCTTTGGCCAAAGCCTCTTCAGGAGTTGTGCAGGTGAAGAGGTGAGGGGAAGAAAAACAGACTCAGGAATGAAACAGCAAGAGAGAGGAAACTGGATCCCTTCCATGCTACGCGCTCGCACACCAGATTAACAATAGGACATGCCAAGGATGCACAGACACTCGCCAAAGTCTTTCTTCAAAGGGCCTCTGAATGGTACTCATCTTCCCTTTTGTACCAAACTAATTACAGAAATATGCAGAGCTTGCAGTAATGCTTTAGCTGTCCATCCATTGTATGTTTTTGTTTATGCATTTCTTTGTAATGATAGGGGAGGTAAAAATGGGGTGAAGTTTCAGGGCTTTTGTGCATCAAAGTCAGCAAACGATCATTTAATTTAATAGGTGCATGGCCCCAGTTACATGAAGGATAGGCATCCACTTAAGATGAAAACACTAATTGAAGCTCTTTCATCATCCGATGTTGTATGAATGATAAAATTTCTTAATAAGCTCAGCAAGTTGTTCTACCAGCAGATCAGACATGAGCAAAGCCTGCTGCCTTTATCAAAGCCAGATGACCCGAGCATCCAGGCTTCAGCCTCGGTTTCCTTAGATTGATAGATGTGAACTCTGAACCCACCTGAACGTACAGCTCTCTCAGCTCATACTGGAACTTCTTTGGGTCTGTTGTGATTGTAACGGGTCCAATCTCTGCAAACACAAAAGAAGCTGTGTGATTAATAGGGCCACAGGCTCAAGTTTGATGATTAACTGAAAGCATTTTTATTTCGTAAACTCTGCTCTGGGGCCAAATGTTAGCTTTGGCAAGAGCTTGCGGATGTCCAGATAAAAATGTCACAATTTAAAACGCAGTGAGGAAATAAAAGCTATTTAACTAACAGAGGAAGGGAAAGAAGGAAATGTGAAGAAGATACAGATCGATAATAGAAAAGGTAAATGAAGATCGAACGAACAGTGTTTCAAAACACAGATCAGATTCATACAAAGGTTTTTAAAAACTGAAGAAATTCTAATACAGACAGTATGTAATCAAAACAGTTGAAGCAGTATTGTTACAATTTCACAGGATTTATTCATTCTACCATTTTTGGTTTGCAAGCAAAGAGAAATTATACAAAAAATACTGTGAGTAACCAAGTATTAAAGAAGAGGCTTGCTCATCATATTTGGACTCTATTAACAGTTGTGGTCAGAAGTTTACAAACATCCATCATGGGCGTGACAATTTTTAATGATTTCTTTGAACGATGGGCTGTGAGGTCAGTTTGCATATTAATGATCGAGGAACTGACTTCACAGCCCATCGTTCATTCAGTCGGCTACGTTCAGTTATTTTGCAAATGTATCGTTTATAAGGTTGGTGAAAGCTGCAGTCAGCTGAGACTGAAGAAGTCACCTGGTTCTCCCACGGAAAACGTCCAGATGAACACAATCAACCTTTTGGGATTTACTAACCTGGACGATTGAGCATGGATCAAGACATTTCTTTGAACTGTTCTTCTTCTAGGAGGAAATGATTGTACAGCATGAATCTTTAATGTCTTTACAAAAGAAAAAGTATGAATTTATTTTGGATTTGCTTTAATCTACACAGGGTCACGTATAAACATACACTAAATTTGGTTAGATTTGGTTAAATGTCCCCTCAACAAGTTTCTCTTCGACCCAATGCTTTAAATAGCCAGCGAGAAGATTCTGGAGCAATTCTGGATGGATATTTGACCTCTCTTCTGGGCAGAATTATTAATTTATTTAAATTGATTAATTTATTTAAATTGATTAATTTCCTGGCTTTTAAACACTGTTGACAAATTTTCAATAATGTTGAGGTCGGGGCTTGGGAAGGGCATCCCAGAAGCTTAATGTTTACCTGCCTTATCAAAACCAAAAGCAGTGTTGATGTGTGTCGGGGATCATTGTCCTGCTGGAACATAAAACTGTGTCCTGTTTTCAACCATCTGACAGCCTAAGAACACGATGCTGCCACCACCATGCTTGGCAGGAGTGAAATGTTCTTAGGTTTGAAGTCCTCCAAACATACATCTTGTCATTGTGTCCAAACAGCTCAGATAGTCTTCTCTGACCATAAAGCAAGCTTTCAAACTTGAAAGTGGAACAGGGGCTTCTTCCTGGAGACGTTAAAATCACTGTGGACAATGACACTGGTGTTCCAGCAGTTTCTAGTTCATGGCAAGCTTGAGCCTTCTCCTGAACATCTCCACCTCTTGCTTCACAGAGTTTTACATTCCCAAAGTGTTATGTCTCCAGCTGGAGTTGAACCAGCAACCTTTTGCTTGCCGAGTGGAACTGTGCAACACTATTCTACATTTAGCCACAACAAGCAAAACTGTTTTTATTTTCAATTCATCCACGATTATGTTTTATATTAATCATACAGCTTGTCGCGGACCAAAAAGATCATTTTGTGAAACCAACAGGCCAACATTCAAACATTTTCACATTTCAGAAGCTGAACAAGGGAATGTTTGCACACTGGAAAGTTTGAAAAGGTGATCAAAATAGTTAAATTACTATCACCTAACCACTGCTCCTTTCGTTGTACAGGATACAATAAAAGGTTTTCACAATGAACTTAAAATATCTGCAGAAAGAAACATTTTAGTTTAAAATGACCTGACCAGTTTTCAACAGTTTTCAAGGACAGGTTGTCCAGAAATGGTTCTTCCTGGGAGCTACACAAATGAAGAATAAGAGCCAGATATGCACAAGGAGACAAATCTGAAGGGAAGTGTGATCAACTTGAGATCAGATAAGAGCTTTTTTCTTTCAATGGACAAAATCGCAGAAAGTCGGCAAAACTGTCATACAGATTGTCTCACATTTGACTTTCATATGAAAGCATACCCTTCCTGTAAACTGTCATATACAGAGGAGTTTATGATCAACTCAATGACTGCAAGCTGCTTAGTGCTGTGGCAACAGAACAAGCCCCAATCATCACTCTCCATCGTCATGCTTGACATTTGCATGAGGTGTTTGTGCTGATATGCTGTGTCTGATTTTCATCAAATGTGTTGCTGTGGATTATGGCCAAACATCTCCACTTTGGTCTCATCTGTCCAAAGGACACCGTTCCAGGAGTCTTGTGGTTTGTTTTTGCAAACATAAGCTTTTCTTTGTTCAGTGTTGCTTTCTCCTGGCAAATCTTCCAGATGTGCCATACTTGCTCAGTATTTTTCTAATTGTACTTTCATGAACATCAACATTTAAAATGCTAACTGAGGCCTGTAGAGTCTGAGATGTAGCTCCTTGGTTTTTTGCATTGCATGATCTGACATTAGGTAGAATTTGCTGGGACATCCACTTTTGGAAAGACTGTGGCACCGTGTTAACTCCAAAACATGCTTTTACAGAGTCGGTCACAATTGCTGATGATTGGTGCATAAAATGTACCTGGCTGCTATTTACCCTCTGAATTCTTCTGGAAGCAGTTTTTACTAGTTTTTTTAAGTCATTGTTCACACAAGATTTGTCTGTTAAATGACATAAAGAGGCCTGTCTCATAAAAGCTGGAGCTTTACCACATAAGATAAGATAAGATAAGATAGAACTTTATTAATCCCTCGGGTGGGTTCCTCTGGGAAATTCGATTTCCAAAAAAAGCACAGCAACGACCGAAGTTACAGTTACAGAATTGTTA